TATTAAATAGAAGGGGACAGCAGATAACATGGAGGAGCCTTGGTGGAGCAGCGGACTAAAGTGCTATTAAGTAGCACTTAGCTGCCAGCTGCCTGCAATTACTGCGAGTTCAAATCTCACCAGGCTCAAGGTTGACTCAGCCTTCCATCCTTCCGAGGTAGGTAAAATGAGGAGCCGGATTGTGGGGGCAATAAGCTGACTTTGTATAAAAAAGAACACCAACTAACAGCATGGCTAGTCAGATCAGCTCCCTGAGTCTAAAACAAACAACTGCTTGGTTTGGTGGCAGCAGCACCTCAGATAGAAAGTCCATACAGAGAGTGGTAAGGACAGCAGAGAAGATTATAATTATTCAGGATACTGTTTATAAGTGCTATGTGTTTAGAGCTCAAAGCATTGTTAAGAGACCCCCACACACCCATTTTACATTTTGTTTCTGTTGCTCCCCTCTGGGAGGAGGTTTTGAAGTATCTATAGCAGGATTACTAGATTCTGTAACAGCTTTGTTCTTTATGCCACCCGCTTGGTAAACTCTCAAGATTCATTTTTCTTGCCGTGTACATGCATACATCCAAACTAGACTGTGTTGTTTCTCTGTGTCATATATTATATGTGGGTATGTGGGTATATGCATATTTGTTTGTTTATTTCTTTATGTATTTGTCATGTTTATGTGGTGTATATTGGAGGTGGTGGCCCTTTGAGACCTGTATGCAACGAAATTTCATTTTAATGTATACTGATTGGTATACATTTAAAGCAACAAGAAAGTTATTCTAAGTCTTAAGTCTAACCAGGGCATCTGTTCTGACCAAGCCCTGCTGACTGAGGGTATTGTCCAAAATTGGGCGGGCGATGGGCAGAGGAATGTGCAGCTGTGCAGAGCGGTAAAGAGTATGGGCCAAAGCTGTGGGCAGAACGATAGGGAGACACTGAAGGACTGACGAAGTCAGCCTTCAGATGTCTGGAAGTTGAGTCATGGAACTGGACTTCTTTTCTTTTTGGTTTGAAACATTTTGCTCCAAAAATATTCAGTCTGAGCAAGTTGGTTTGGCAGACCACATACATGTCCTCAAGTAGGCAAGGAACTCCTATATATTATCTCCTAGCTGGGCCATTAAGCGTGGCTTCCCTGTGAACCGGTGAAGTGGTCTTAATCTTACTGGGAGCTGATACAAGAGCACCATAAATAATGGGGAACGGGCTATATCTGAGGGTTAGGATTAGGGTTAGGCCTGTTCTAAGCATATGGGATGCAGTGGCTAAGACGCTGAGGTTATCGATCGAAAAGTCGGCAGTTCAGCGGTTCGAATCCCTAGTGCCATGTAACAGGATGAGCTCCTGTTACTTGTCCCAGCTTCTGCCAACCTAGCAGTTCGAAAGCACGTAAAAAATGCAAGTAGAAAAATAGGGACCACGTTTGGTGGGAAGGTAACAGCGTTCCGTGCACCTTTGGTGTTTAGTCATGCCGTCCACATGACCACGGAGACATCTTCGGACAGTGCTGGCTCTTTGGCTTTGAAATGGAGATGAGTACCGCCCCCTAGAGTCGGGAACGACTAGCACATATGTGCGAGGGGAACCTTTACCTTTTAAGCAGACGGGACCCTACAAGATCTTGTCTATGTCAACTGGCAGATAGTTGAGAGGCCATTGTTCTTTGATGCCACTTATGATGAGTCCTGTTTAGGATTCCATATCGAGACCTGTGTCCATAACAGGTGAAGAGCACTAAGGATAAAGCTTGCTACTCATTTCTATGGAAGCTACTGGGGAAAAAAAACACTTCAGGGACTTTGTCTTCAGTTTCATCTGGGACTCTCAGAGAACAAAAGAGCTCATATAAGAGCCAAGAGGAAATATCATTGAAAAGAAAGAGAACAAAGAAAAAACTAAGCAGAAATCCATCACATTTTTTAAACTCAGTGCCGTGATCCCGGTGGAAATGTTCCTTAGGTGCTAGCAATTTCAAACATCTCAACAATTTGTTAAGCTGATGAGACTCAAAAAGTTTTCCAGTAGCAAACTTTTAAGGATATCAGAAGGCTTGATTGATCCTTGATTAGCCATCTCAATCCTTCTCCTGATTGGCTGAGCCGTCTGCATTTCCTTGAATAAACCCTATTTCAACCAGCCTCTTCAGCTCTCTCTGAGTCCTAAACTGAACTATCCCAATGCAAAATCTGTCTTAACCAGGCCACGTGGTATCCTGTTGCTGAGTTCAGAGCAATCAAAAGAACATTCTTCTCCTGTTCCAACTGTAAATATAATAGAAATATTTGTATTGGCCGGGATAAGGAAGCACTTTGAAGTGCTGGTGTCTTAATTTCCTTTTACTGTTTTTATTTCTCCATTAAACAAACGGTGGGTTTTGCAACCTTCACCCTTGGGAACAATAATAAAATGTTCAGAATGTTAAGTGAGGGAAATTAAATTATGCGTGGATTTATTTTTTTCCCCTGCACTTGAATTAGTCAAATATTAATCCATCGGTGGGAATAAAAAGTCACAGAAATGATTGTGACAGGCATGAAATTGTATCCTTCGGTGGTTGTATAGATTTGCAACGGTATGCAAGATATAAGAACTTCCAACATATTTCCCCACTCTAACATCCTGTTCATTTTTCCTTCTACCTATGTTCTCGTTTATTTCATATAATCATTTAATAAATCAATTATGGTGTCTTGAAGTGAAATGGATCTCCTTCTGAGTATGTTTTTTCTTTAAAATTGATGTTCCACATTCAGGAAGTGATTCCTTTCTCCAACTGGTCCAGAGATGTGGCAGGTCAAGATTGGGCAACCAACCTACACGTTGTTAAAAATTCAGAGATGAATTTTCTGCATCTACCATAAATTATCTAATATATAAATTAGCAGTTTTAAACTGGACGACTAGAGACATGTGATTCCCATGGTGCCTCTCTCTGAAGGCATTTCACTCTTGTACCAGGGGTAGGTCGTACTTACCTTTACTACCAGTTTGCAATGGGATCATGCATGCGCAGTTCGCCTATGATGACATCCGGGGCGGTGGGCAGAGCCCCCCGCCGGTTTTACTACCGGTTCTTGTGAACCGGTCGGAACTGGGGGCAACTCACCACTGTCTTGTACCATCAGAACAGAACAGAATAACAGAGTTGGAAGGGACCTTGTAGGTCATCTAGTCCAACCCCCTGCCCAAGTAGGAGACCCTACACCATTTCTGACAGATGGCAGTCCAGTCTCTCCTTGAAAGCTTCCAGGGATGAAACTCCCACAACTTCTGAAGGCAACTTCTGTTCCATTGGTTGATTGTTCTCGATGTCAGAAAATTTCTCCTTATTTCCAGGTTGAATCTCTTTTAATGATCGGTTTCCATCCATTATTCCTTGTCTGGCCTCTAGATGCTTTGGGAAATAGGCTGACCCTGTCTTCTCTGTGGCAGCCCTTCAAGTATTGGAACACTGCTATCATGTCTGCGCTGGTCCTTCTCTTCACTAGACTAGCCATGCCCAGTTCCTGAAACTGTTCATTGGATGTTTTAGCCTCCAGATCTCTAATCATCTTGGTTGCTCTCCTCTGCATCTTTCTAGAGTCTCAACATCTTTTTTATAGTGTGGTGACCAAAACTGGATGTGTATTCTAGGTGTGGTCTTACTAAGGCTTTATCGTCTCAATGATGTGATGTCTGGACCAGGAGTGGGTTCTAATTTTTTTACTACCGGTTCTGTGGGCGTGGCTTATTTTGTGGGTGTGGCTTGGAGGTCATGTGACTAGGTGGGCATGGCTAGCTGGTCAGATTCATTTCTGGAAGGTCCTCGCACTTACGACCAGTCCTTGCACTTACGACCCGACTCATTTGTTTGCTTTTAATACTGATCAGCTGTAGGACGGCCCTTTGAAGCCCCGTGGCAAGAGTTTAAACAGTTTTTTTCCCTCTAGTCATCAGCTGGGACTCAGGAGGCAGCAATAGATTGGGGGTGGGACCAAATAAAAGGTAAGAATAACGTGGGTGGGGGTGGGTGAGAGAGGGAGGAGAACCAGTTCGGTGATGTCATATCGTCACCGCTACCGGCTTGGCCGAACCGGACCGAACCGGGAGGAACCCACCACTGGTCTGGGCTTTGGAAAATGGATTGCTATTATCATCATCCTTCGTTCCTGGTCACAGTTGCAAGTTCAATTTTGCAGGATGCAATGTGGGTCGGTCACTGGGACCAGAGGTTTAATCTTCCAAGCTTTCGGACTCATGCTGGTAAGAGAGAAGTTCCCTAAAGATTTGCTCCAGTGCTAGTCCAAAAGCTTGGAAGACTAAACCTCTGGGCCCAGTGACCGACCCAGATTGGATCCTGCAACATTATCCCGGGACACATATGTTCGCCTTCATTCACAAGTACATTTTCTACGCGATTAAACAAAAGTGAATGTTAAATAAGAATTCTGTGCCAATGATCCATTTTTTCCCCCTAGAGTTGGAGTGAAGTGAAGTAGTAAACTTTCTGTCACTACAGAGACTTGTTATAACGAGGGTTGACTATTCAGTCAGCCACTGGAATTGCAGAATTGCAAGGAAGTCTTGCATGCATTTTGTCTCTGAAGATGCCTTCTTGAGAAAAATTTTTCTCAAGGGAGTCCAATTTTCTTAGATAACAAAAATATTTGCTTTTTATTTTTCCAGTGAAATTCTCTATCGGGCGAAATGTATTTCTTCCAACTTAATCAACAGATGGAGTTTTGCGGGATTCTGTATTTTAAATTCTTCTGTAGAACTTGAGGACTTTGAAATTCCCAGTGAAGAGATGACCCTTGTCCCTTTTGCTTTGGGTGGGATGTAAGAGTTCTTCAAGCATCTGGAATTCTCTGCTTTAAATAACACTTTCTTTGAATATTATAGCCTACATTAATTGCGTGATGATGGACTATGGCAGATAGTTTTGTTTTGCAATTACTGCTCTGTATTAGTTGTGCTAAGCTATTAATCTAAGTTAAATTTGTGTATGTGTTTATTTCTTGCAGACAAGAAGAAACTGACCGAAGAGTAAAAAATGTAAGATAATTTTTCTTTCTTTTTGCTGTTAGTTTGATCCACATACTGATAGATTAAGGAAGAAAATATAGGTGTGACACTTTTACCTAGTTCTTGTTATGCATAAATCCAGGATCAGCATAGCCATAATGTGAGCTGGTTACTTCTGTTGGGTTCAGTATGTTTTATGATTCCAACTATAAAGTAAATGTTAGACAAAAGTAAAGGTTTTCCCTGTCCAATCATATCCAACTCTAAGGGGCGGTGCTCACCTCCGTTTCTTAGCCGAGGGAGCCAGTGTTGTCTGAAAACACTTTCCATGGTCATATGGCCAGCATGGCTATACACCAAAGCACACCGAACGCTGTTACCTTCCCGCAAAAGTGGTACCTATTAATCTACTTGCATTTGCATGCTTTTGAACTGTGAGGTGGGCAGGAGCTGGACCAAGTAACAGGACCTCACCCCATCACGTGGCTCTTGGTTCTTGAACCCAGGCTGTCAGCTTTCCAGCTGATAAGCTCTGTGTCTTTAACCACTGAGCCACCCTGCCCCCAAGTAAATATAATAAGAGACTTATTTTTAATATAAGTAACTAGCAAGCTTTTTCTGGGAGGAACAGTGGATCAAACACGTAGGAATTTTATGTTTAGCTTTCCTCTTTTCCACCTGAGTTTCCAGGATTTATTTCAGCTGGAAGAAGGAAGAATTGGGGAAGTATTAAGCACCTGCTTCAGGAACTTCTGGTCTTACCTGTTTCTTTTAAGTATGTTAGATGGACCTGGAGAGGCCTTAAGGGAGAAGGTGGTGGTATAGAAACGCTATTCACTGCACAAAAGATACTGTTGTGGAAGCATTGCCTGTAGCTGTTGAAAGGATTGCTTTCTGAATGATGCTCATGTGACCAGGGCAAGATAAGAAATTATGGGTGTTGGCAGTTGGTATCACCAACAGTATTAGGTAATCCTGGCTAAGGATCTTGGGGTGAATGCTTGTGAACTAGAACAGAAATGCTAGAAATAGTATAAAGTTGAAATAAATCTTGAACAGAAGAGCCGGGATGGTGTAGTGTGGGGATAGAATTGGAAAGATCTAGCATCAGGCTGACCTCAACCTTGCAAATCTCCCTGGGCAACTTGATTATCATGTTCATTGTGGAGAGATGTGGAAATAGAGGGGACACACTTGGGTTCCTGAAGGACATAAATCTAACACCTAGTTAAATAAATAATTAGAAAGTTATAAAAAAGTGGTGCTCTTGACATGGAAGCGCCCTTGAAGACCTTTCAGAGGTTCTACTCTAACTCATGACATTCTCCCATGTGATATTTCTACTTAAGGATCTACTCTGGTTAAGGTTCCCTTCCAGATAACAGTTGCTGGTTGTTATCTTTAGAACATTTCACAGTTTAGGCCCAGGTGTCATTGAGACATATCCTCGTACACTGAGATCTGGTGAGTTGGCTTAAAACTCAGGGATTGAGGATGGACAAGGATGGACAAGCCCTGTCCTGGTGGTGTGATCCACCAGCAGCCTGCGGAGCTGGCAGCTGAGTCAGACAGTGAGGAGGCTAGGGAGGACAATGGGCCAGTCCTGGAGTCTGGGGAAGGCCCGGACAAGGGCTCTGCTTCGGAGGCAGAGATGGGGCCAGGGCCATCTGGGAGCGATGCGCAGACTCTGGAGCCTCCAGAGGTGTACAGCAGAGAGGCAGAGGAACAGGAAAAGCCTGTTCCTAGTTCCCAGAAGGCAAGAACAGCTAAAGCGAAAAGGACGACTCAGGAGTAAGGCCAGGAGATGAATGGCCCCTCCCATAAGGCTTAAAGGAGCAGCAAAGGCTCTTGGGCTCTTTGTAGGAAAGCAATGTTGCTACATTTGTTTCTTGTCAGCGTCTCTTGTTCCTGAACTTTGTGGGGCTTTGCCAAGAAAAGCCTTTGGCAGGATGCCAAAGAAGACAAAGGTTTGTGATAAGGCCGAAGGACTTTTTCTAAAGGACTTGTTTTGGAATTAATTTGGACTAAACTGAGAATGAAGTAATTCTCAGCTGTTCTAATAAAAATATGTTTGTTTAGGACTGATCGTGTCTGGTAATAACTACTTGGGCCTAGGTCACAACACCTGGATGCAGAACGTAGTCCAAAGAGACCACCCCTCATATTCTGCAATTGTGCATTTCTTGGTTAGCTTTCTATTACAAGAATGTTAGGATGGAGAATAATAGCTTCTGGAACCGTGTTTAATCATTCTAAGTATTCTCCATAACTCTGTCCTTTTTAAGGTTTTGATTACCTTGTACTGGCTGGGCAGGAAAGCAGCCCGTAGCCCTTCTTATCATGGACCCCATCTGGATTTGAAAGCCTTTGAGAAATTGCTTGGACAAGCTTTGACCAAGGTAAGGCCTCGGTGGCAGGATCGTTTTAGAAATGACAAAGATTTCAGGTGTCTCCGTCTCTCTCATAGTACTTTGTTCAGCATCTGCCTTGATTGACAAATCCACTTGAAGGTCAAACTGGCAGTTCAAATGGATTCTCAGTCATGTTTCTAGGAAACCTTTTCTGATGATTTTCACTCTGAATCCCCAAGGGAAACATCCCAAGGGTCTAGGACCGGGATGGCGAACCTATGGCACGGGTGCCACAGGTGGCACACCGAGCCATATCAGTGGGCACGCGAGCGTTGCCGTAGCTCAGCTCCAACACACATGTGTGTGCCAGCCAGCTGATTTTTGGGCCTTTTGGTCCCACCAGAAGTTGGGAAATGGGCTATTTCCAGCCTCCAGAGGGCCTCAGGGGTGGGTGGGGGTGGTGAAGGCCGTTTTCGCCCTCCCCAGACTCCTAGAAAGCCTCTGGAGCCTGGGGAGGGTGAAAAACAGGCCTACTGGGCCCACTGGGCCATCACATGCTAAAAGCGGGGAGGGGGGGCGCACACATGTGCAGGGGCAGGGCGCATTGAATTATGGGTGTGGGCACACACGTGGGTGATCTCCCCACCCTCCCCCTGCTTTTGGCACACGACGGCAAAAAGGTTAGCCATCATTGGTCTAGGATAACTCAATGCAGTCAACTCGCCATGGCCATTTCACCCTGGCTAACCCGCCACAGCTATCTCGCCTCAGGACAACTTGCTGTGAACAGTTCCACATGGAGATAGATAACTCAATGCGACAAATGTTATTCACTACTGTTTCTTTGATGGAAATAACACTGACAAAAACAATAATAATGTCGAAGAAACAGTGGCAGATAACATTTATCTCATTGAGTTATCCCACATGGAATTGTCCATGGTGAGTTGTTGCATGGCAAGTTGGCCGCAGCGAGATGATTGCAGCAGGTTGGCCATGGCGAAATGGCCGTGGTGAGATGGTAAATTGTCTCATTCCGACATCTCAACAGGATAATCACTGGCCCTCTTATAGGCTCATTGTGTACAGAGAAAGCAGGCAACCAAAAATGGTAGAGCTCCCGCAGGTCTTCCTGAGTGGACCCTCTAAGCTTCAAAGTCATTGGCAGAGATATTATCCATCTGAAGTCAGAGGCTTAGCAATTTTAGTGCCTTTCTTTCCCATGAAAACATGAGACTCATCCTTGGGTGCTGCTGTTACTCCCAGTTGTTTCTTGCATGGATCTCATTTTAATTGATGGCTTAAAACAGCAGCCTTTAAGAGCCCTTTTCGGACAGATGGGGCACTATCTAACAACATGAAATTGAAAAAAGTAAAGTTGTACATTTAGGCAAGAAAAACCAAATGCACAGGTACAGTATATGTGGTACCTTGCTCAATAGTAGTAACTATGAGAAGGCTCTTGGAGTCTTAGTGGACAATCATTTAAATATGAGCCAGCAGTGTGCAGTAGGTGCCAAAACAGCCAACACAGTCCTAGGCTGCATAAACAGAGGGATAGAATCAAGATCACGTGAAGTGTTAATACCACTTTATAATGCCTTGGTAAGGCCACACTTGGAATACTGCATCCAGTTTTGGTCGCCACGATGTAAAAAAGTTGTGGAGACTCTAGAAAGAGTGCAGAGAAGAGCAACAAAGAGGATTAGGGGACTGGAGGCTAAAACATATAAAAAACAGTTTCTGGAAATGGGTTTGACTAGTTTAATGAAAAGAAGGATTAGGGGTGAGATGATAGCAGTGTTCTCAAGGGCTGCCACAAAGAAGAGAGAGTCAAGTCATTCTCCAAAGCACCTGAAGGCAGGACAAGAAGCAATGGATGGAAACTAATCAAGGAGAGAAGCAACCTAGAACTAAGGAGAAATTTCCTGAGAGTTGGAACAATTAAACAGTGGAACAACTTGCCTCCAGAATTTGTGAATGCTCCAACACTGGAAGTTTTTAAGAAGATGTTGGGTAACCATTTGTCTGAAACAATATAGGGTTTCCTGCCTAATCAGGGGGTTGGACTAGAAGACCTTCAAAGTCCCTTCCAAATCTGTTATTCTATATCCTGCCATTTGTGACAGCAGCAATGAGAAGAAGCTTTGGTCTCTGAATCCTACAGGCTTTCTGCTGAATGTCAACTCCTCTTTTGTGCTTTTTCTCCTACAGGCCCTTGGGGAACCCTACAGCCCCAAACAAAGTGGAAGGGACAGCGGCTACGGGGATTTTTGGTGCGCTGATCCGCTTTCATTGTCTGCCAGCCACAAGCGGGACGATTCCTTAGACAGCTTGGACTCTTTTGGCTCCAGATCTTCTACCAGTTTCTCTTCAGATCTCACTCTGAAAGGCGGCAGTGAAGGTGATTCCTACGCTTTGGGTTAATCCTTTTTTATTTGGAAAGAAGTCCAGTGTTGTTTGGCACCTTTGCTGCTTTCGTTTGAATGGGTTATTTTCCTCAGGTGGTCCTTTAGATTTTTGCTAGGTTTGCCTGAAGGCACAGAAGATTTAATGATGAGCAACTGATTAAAAAATAAAAAAAGCATCCTAAGCTATTTATTTAAAACATTTGCAAATCGCTTCTCATTTTTTTTAAAAAAAAATAAATAAATCCCAAAGCAATTTACAATAAAATTCAAGCTGTTAGCTTTGAACAGTGGCTTAAAATGATTGGTAAAGCATTCATTAAAGCATTGGGTTAGATATACAGTAATCAATGCAATAAAAATACAAGAGAATTAAAACAGCAATATTTATTTTAAAAAATACCCTACATGGATGCACAGGCTAAAAAAAGTCTCACAAATCCTTCACAAAAACCCCCTGTTTGAAGTTCTCTCCTGTTGCATTTTTTTTTTTTACACCTGTGGCCTTATCATCCTGTGATCCTTCTCACACTATTTAGAACTCTTATTTTCATCGTTCCTTTACTTAGACATTAAAAGTATAGCATTTGTTTCAGCTTTGCTCAATATAGTTCATCATTCAGAACTCTAAAAATGCTTACATCAAAATTTCAACGCTTTGGTTCCATCCCAGCTAATTTCCTTTTCACTCTGTCTCGCTCTGTGGGAGATTTTTTTCACTCCCTTCCAAACCCAACTTTCCTTTCCATCAAAATCTCTTGATTTTTGCACTGGAAAGTGTTGATTTAAAAAGTTGGGTTCTAGTTCAGCGTTAGAAGAGAGAGAGAGAGACAGACAGACAGACAGACAGACAGGACAGACAATAGATACAAGATAGATAGATTAGATAGATAGATAGATAGATAGATAGATAGATAGATAGATAGATAGATAGATAGATAGATAGATAGATACGTAGGTAGGCAGGCAGGCAGGCAGGCAGGCAGACAAAGTTGACAGATGATAGAGAGAGAGACAGACAGACAGACATAGATGATAGAGAGATGATAGAGAGATGATAGACAGAGAGATGATAGATAGATAGATAGATGATAGAGAGAGAGAGAAAGACAGACAGACAGACACAGATTATTTATTTATTTATTTATTTATTTATTTATTTATTTATTTATTTATTTATTTATTTATTTATTTAAATTTGTATACCGCCCTTCTCCTAGTGGACTCAGGGCGGTGCACAGCCAAAACTAAAACACATACCAATACAAAATTTAAAATTATTAAAAGAATTACATACTTTGTCCCAAATTTAAAACAATTCGAATTAAAACCCATTGACAATTAAAAGCTAAAAAACTAAAAAAACTAAAAAAGGGGGGAGGGTTCACGCCAGCCCTGCTTGATGGAAAAGAAAAGTTTTCAGGGCACGGCGAAAGACCCGGAGATCCGATATCCTTCGTATCTCCCGGGGCAAATCATTCCAGAGGGCAGGAGCTGCCACAGAGAAGGCCCTCCCCATGGGGGTCGGCAGCCGACATTTCCTGGCCGACGGCACCCTGAGGAGTCCCTCTCTGTGGGAGCGTACTGGTCGGTGGGAGGCTATTGGCGGCAGAAGGCAGTCCTGCAAATACCCAGGTCCTATGCCATGGAGCACTTTAAAGGTGGTAACCAACCTTGAACCTTGATAGATAGATGATAGAGACAGGCAGACAGACACAGATGAGAGAGAGAGATGAGAGAGAGACAGACAGACACAGATGAGAGATGAGAGAGAGAGAGACAGACAGACAGACAGACACAGATGATAGACGGACAGACAAACAGACAGACAGACACACACACACACACACACACACACACACACACACACACATATTATTCATACTGATTCATTCCTATGTATAGGTAGTCCTTGATTTACAACCCTTCCTTTAGTGACTGTTCCAAGTTACAACAGCAGTGAACAAAAATGACTTGAGGTTGTTTTTCACACTTGTGTCCCTTGCAGCATCCATCCATGGTCACATGGTTGAAATTCAGACGCTTGGCAACTGACAGTCGCACTGTCCTGAGGTCATGTGACCATTTTTTGCGGCCTTCTGACAAACAAAGTCAATGGGGGAAGCCAGGTTCCCTTAACAACAGTGTTACTAACTTAACAACTGCAGTGAGAAAAGTCATAAAATGGGGCGACATTCAAACAGAACAGAAAGTTTGGGCTCAATTGTGGTCATAAATTGAGGACTATCTGTAATGCAAATTCTAGAGTGGGATATTGTCTGTGGCATTAATGCTGGGATTAATGCATCATTTTGTAAATCTAAAATAGGCATTAAAAAGGGTAATGGATCTCCTGAAGATGAACGAAGTTAATTTTGATGCGATATTATTGGCGTTCGTCTCAAAAAGCCATTTGGTCTGCTCGTTTCCAACAGAAAGCAACGAACTAATCAGTACTTTATTTTCATTTTGTGGCTTCCCAGTTCTTAAATTGTAACTGCAACTTTCTTCTTTCTTATATATATGTATGTAAAAGATTTTGAGAGTGACACAGATTCTGAAACCCGCGCCAGAATGCATGATCCTGGGAAAGATGACATGTCCTATCGCCGAGTGGCCTTAATTGAACCCAAGCCCGCTGCAGAATTCAACCGTTTCCTGCCCAACAAAGCCAAGCCACCAACTTATATGCCAGCGCCTTTAAGAAAGAAGAGAATCGAGAAGAATGAAGATAACAGAAGAAGCTGGGCGAGTCCAGTCTTTACTGAACCGGATGGAAATTTTTCGAGGTATTCTTGTCACGCTCAAACATCTCAAATGGTCTGTTTACAGTAAAGGCTGAGAAATTGCTGCCAGTAGGATCCAGATGCACCACCTTCCTTTCTTGCTGTTTCCCTTAGCAGTGATTTAACACAGGGGTGTCAAACTCGCGGCCCATGGGCCAGATGCATCACGCGCTGGCCACGCCCACCCGCGGGTTAACGAAGGGGGGAAAGTCACGTGACGTCACTTGACAACAACGTGATGACACAAGTTTGACACCCCTGATTTAGCATTTCATCTTTGTGAACGGTAAGGCTTAATTTTAAGCTTTAGCTTTGAGGACAAATTGTGGCTGATTTTGTTGCAGGTGGGAACGCTTTGCTAAAAACCAAAACAAACTGGGAAAATTAGAGACCCAATGGGGGAGGAGAAGGGGAAGGCTTAAAATTTTTAACTGGTTAATTTTATGGGTAAGGGGTTTTAAATTGGGGAAGCCCAATTAATTTATTCACGTTTTTAAATTATTTTAATTTTCACATTGTATGTATTTTAATTTTGGCTGTTCACCACCCTGAGTCCTTCAGGAGAAGGGCGGTATAAAATTATTATTATTATTATTATTATTATTATTATTATTATTATTATTATATTATTATTACAACAAACAACAACAACAACACAACAACAACAACAACAACAATAATAATAATAATAATAATAATTAATAATAATAATAATAATAATAATAATAATAATAATAATAATAATATACTGATGTGGCCCTGTTGGCCGCCGGCCCCTCCAGCAACCAAATCAGATGAGAAGACGATATTGGAGTCAGGGCTAACATCAACCCGGCCCCTCAGCAACCCGAGAGCTCCGAGGGGGAAGAGGGAGAGAGAGACAGAGGCAGAGCCTGGGCCAACAGCCCCCAGGTCTGGATGTGGCTGATGAGGAAGAGGAGGAACAGCTGGGTCCGGTGCCTGACGCGCGGATGCACAGAAGGCAGAGGAGAGGAGAGCAGTGGAAATCTATGGGCCGATCCTTGGGACGGACGAGCCACCTCTGCTAGCGAAGCCCCACCCTAGCTCTGGGGAGAAAAGGCAGGGGGTGGATATGACTAGGTGTGGCAGACAACTATTCATCTCCCTGCCGGACAGATTTGTAGCCTGCTGTGAGAGAGAGAGAGAGAGACTTTTTGCTAGGGCTGCTGGCGCTCCTAATAAAGGAAACATTTGTTTAACTACAGAGAGTTACTACAAACTACAGAGAGTTTGTCATGTTTGGGAGCCAGGTTAGAACAGATACTTCCATTTGCTAGTTATGGTTATGCTGGCACTTTTAATAGCCAAGGATCTGAGACTTCAGTTGATCAGACTAGTAAATGCCAGATGCCTCCTTGCTCATAAGTTTACGGAGGTGGATGGTAGCCCCGGTCCCTCGAATTACCTTGCGGCTGCTAGTAATTCAAATTACAATGAAAACCATAGAGACAACTTTGCGGTGATGAGATCCATCTCTCTTCTAAAACAGTGCTGTTAGTAGTTGTCACCAATTCCGCCACTTAATTGTGCAAATTAAAACTAAATGAAGAATGCTTATTTGATGAACAGCTTAATTTAATTTGGGAACTCCGAAAGATGACTGGACAATGTTACATTTTATTTAAAGCTTACCGGGGGTTATGAATCACTATCAACCATTACACGTCTTTTGTTATGGTGAACTGGGTAATTTTGGTTTCTTTCTCTTTAATAGTATCATTGAGAGTAAAGCTGCTGTTGGAACCTAAAATAAGATATAAATAACATTTTGACATCTTCTTTACCTCCCACCCCACACAAGCTATTCTCCAAGAGGATAGAAATTGTAGGGTGATAGACCAGGAGCATCTCCCCTTGTCTATCTTCTGAAATTCATAGGGACCAGCTGCGTGTGACTGCAAGTCTTTCTTTGCTATGGTTTTGTATGGCACAAAATTCTAGTGAATGCCATAGGTATTAATTATATTCTGTTGCTTTTATTGAGGTGCTCTCTGAGCTTGGTCGCTTTCTTGCAGACGTGTCATTACTCAAACTAGATAACATCATTGGTGCTAGTCTTTTGTTTGTATTCTTCAACTGCTGATCTCTGCAGAGAATCCGACTAGGTGATAGTGGGATTGCATGACCACTGATGATCTGTTGGCCTGATGGTAGCATCTCTTGGGAGAGGAAAGTGAGAATGCTTCAGATGTTTGTAGAAGACTTGCCAAACTATGGGTCCTTGGTAAAGAATAGCTTCTGTTCCCTTTTTGGTAACCATTAGAAAGGATTTGGGGCAGGGGTGAAATCCAACAGGTTCTGACAGGTTCTGGAGAACCATTAGCGAAAATTTTGAGTAGTTCGGAGGACCAGTAGCGGAAATTTTGAGAAGTTTGGAGAACTGGGAAATACCACATCTGGCTGGCTCCAGAGTGGGGTGGGAATGGAGATTTTGCAGTATCCTTCCCCCAGGAGTGGGGAGGGAATGGGGATTTTGCAGTATCCTTCCCCTGGAGTGGGGTGGGAATGGAGATTTTGCAGTATCCTTCCCCTGCCACGCCCACTAAATCACGCCCACAGAACCAGTAGTAAAAAAAATTGAATTTTACCATTGATTTGGTAGTCCAGTTGACCCATTTATCAGATCCAGTTCTCTAGATCAAAATAATCAGTTCCTGAAAAACTTGCTGTAAATAATCTCTCTTTAAGACATATCTTCCATTAGTGTTTTTTTTATATATATATAATGATTCCCATAATTTTATTCTTTTAGAAGGCTTACATGTATTCAACATTTTTGTACCTGATTAGTACAATGGTTTTGCATCAATAATTTATTGAACTTGTTTCACAAGTCAGTAACTCTAAGACAAAGGGGCCTACGGCCTTCTGTACTCAATAGCTAATTTTTTTTCTGTTTGTATTTGAAAATTCCAACCTCGCCGGATGTTTTGTGCAGCAACCACGGAAGAATTTTGGGGCCCGGGATGGAACGCAAGTCAGCAACTTACATTCTTTCAGACTTCTCCAACTATTTGGAGGAGGAGGAAGAGGAGGAGGAGGAGGAGAAAACCACGGGAATCCCAGACATCGAAACAGATGATCTTTACGCTCGCAAAATAAGTGCTGCTGTATCAGCTGTAAAAATCTCCTCTCATAAATTTCTCCCTAAGTCTTGGGCTCCGGGCGAAGAGTTGCACTGGAAAAAAGCACAAAGGATATCTTTTTCCAAACAGTGGTATAAGGAAATTCAAGGATTCAGGTTTGTCATCTTGCATGTTCTTTCTGCATCCAAACCGATTTCTAGAAAATGCATTTGAACTCATTGAAGTCAATGCACAGAGGGGAGTCTACTGTTGCCTGGGGGCAATTACAGTGAATCGTTTCTCCGTTCGTCTTTGCCTATGGCCTCTGTGTGCACTGTTGTTGTTTGATGAAATAGATTGCTGCGCCTAGTTTCTGTGACGGGACTTATTTCCCTGCCTTTTCTCCTTCTCCCGGTGTGGGATCCTATACAGTAACATGGGAGATGCCGAAGCGGAAGATGCAAGAGTCCAGCCCAACCATAGCATTGCGGACAGCTTGGGTATCAGATGCCAAGAAGACTCTCAACCCATTAAGCCAACAGCTGAAATGGCTGCAGGCGAGATGCGTGGCCATTCCTCTGAGCTGCCAAGGTTCCTACAATTGCATGAGCCAGACTAGCTGATAAGTGAAGGCGTTTGTGGCTTGCTTAAACGGGGACGTGAATTATTGATACGCAAAGCTGTCTAATATAATCTTCTGTACCTGAGCATTCGGAATTGATGCTACTAAAGTGATAAGGATTGTTGTATGTCTGCTGGTTGCCACTCCCGTGCCTTTTATAATGGCTGGCCTGCTTTGCTGTTACCCCAAAGTAGAAGTCCTTGTCCTTTTAAAGAACAGAGCATCCAAATTAGCCTTGCTTCCTTGTTATGTTTGTGCACCTTTCTATAGAGTGTCTGCATCTTTTGGTCATCCTTTTTGTTGAGTGCTCGTTTATTGGCAAACCTCTCTCTGGGTTGTATCACTTCAGCAGCTGAAGGCCTCTTGTGATGGGATGTTCCTTAATAGACATTTTTGAAAACCTCCAGCTATGATAGTAAAAGGAGAGGAGAAAGCATTGTGATCTCTTTTCTTCTCTCTTTCCTGCATCTGTTTCTGATGTGGACAGATTTTTTTTGTCTGTGGGAAGAATCCTTCATTCAGGTGCAGAAATGACAGAGCCCAGAGCCGATAAACTTGCTAAGGATTGTAAACCTTTGCTAAGGTTGTGGTCTCCGTGACCTACACCATACTGCAAATCTAATGTGCGTATGTGTCTTTTATATCTCAGCCAGTTTTTATTTCTTCGAGCCCTGCAAAAATATTCCGAGGACTACCTGAATTCTGATCATAGAACCAAAGCTGACCCATCTTCAGGGCCTCGGCTCATAACGTGCAGAAAATCTAATTACCTTAGGCCAGGCTATGACCAAAGAATCCATGAGATTAGAGACTTTTATCCAGATTTGGAAAACGATGATTTGTTTGTCCGTAAGACTGGTGCCTCCCACGCGAATCCAGTCGTTCTCCAGGATTTTGAGTATTTTAGGAGGTCTTGTCAAGAAAGACCTCGTGTTGAAGGAGAAATTGTTCTTCAGCCCAGAGATGGGGAAGATGAAATAATTCCAGATTTAGAAAAAGATGACCTCACTGTTCGCAAAACTCAACTGCAAAAGAAAGAAGTGCCTATATCTGGTGCACCTGACAAGTACCAACCTGCTCTTTTCCCGGATCCTTGGAGTCTACCCCCAGAAATTCAGGCCAAATTTCTATGCTTGCTGGAGAAGTCCACCCTCAAGAGCGAGAGTGAGCGGAGAGGAAAAGTCTTATCTCCTTCTTCTTCAAGGCAAAAGAAGGACGATATGTTGACCCGAAAAATGGAGCTGCTCAGCCTAGGAGGCAACGTCCAATCCAAGAGCTTCTGCCCAGGAGCGTGTAGCAAAGAAGATATGGAAAAATGGGAAGCCATCAGAGAGGCCAGCAAAACCAGGCATAAAAAACGGCAAATGGTTGAAAGGTCAGCTCATGGCCATGCATGGATCATGCTTGCATCTGAATATATGGAAATAGTGCTTGGAAGAGAACTATAGTGTTTGTTTTTCAACAAAGCATGTCTTGGTGTGATGTTTAAGCTCAATGTTCATGTCTGTCCCCATAAGTCCTGTTGTTGATCATCAACTGCTCGCAATCCATCCATCAGAAGTTTACAGGTCTGTTTTGTAGATTGTGTTTATTGTATTGGAGTGGTGCGGTGGCCTAGAGGCGGAGCTCTCGCCTCACAATCAGGAGGCTGTGAGTTCGATCCTAGGTAGAGGCAGCTATTTCTCTCTCTGGGCACAATGAGAATATATCTGCTGAACAAAACTCCGCACTGGCGACAGTTAGGGCATCCGGCCAGTAAACACTCTGCTAGCTACATTCAGTTGCCCAGACTCCACCCCGCAAGGGATTATGGGTTCGTTAAAAGAAGGTGATGATTGTGTTTATTGTACTCCAAGATTGTGTTTATTGTACTGGTCAAGAATACCAGTTTCTATTGTTAACAAGAAGCTGGTACCCCTTAGTGTGCAATGATTCTTAAACAAAATGGTGTATATTTGAAGTCTGTAGTTGAATATACATAAGCCATAATCACTGTCAGATTTTTTCTCTAAAAGTTCTTATGTGAATCTAAAGCTCTTCCATATAATATTGAAAACCTTTCCTGCAGATAAGACAAAAGGAAGATGCCTAGACGCCTTTTCCAATTTTCTTTTTCCCACAAAGGGGCTTCGTGTGTTGCTGCCCAGCCTACAATTCCTTTGATCAGATCTTCAAGTAGAATCTATATTTTGACAATCCGGTTTGATTACTCATTAATTAATGTCTATTAAATCCCTTTCAGAATGTGGGCCCTTCCAACCACACTGGCTTAATATTCAACTTTATTTTAACAATTTCTATAACACACCCCACCTTGTTATTGTCTGAATTGTCCAGAATTGTTTCCTCGTTGCTCAGACAAGAAGCCCACTTCCAAATAAGTTGACGTGTTTGTTTATTCTTGAGGGAGGGGAGAAAGGCAGGAAGGTTTCCACTGATTTTTTTGTTTTTTGAAAAGCCCCCCCTTCCTATGGGAGGATTTCCCAACCTTTTCAGAAGAAGTTTGGATTCTAGAGGGCGTCAGGTGCCGATTATTGGCCCCACCGTTCGCCGTGAAGACACAGTCCTTGGCCAATCTTAATGAGCTTTCTGATGTTCATCTGGTAAAGTCCTTCTCGTCTTGAAATGACCTCATCCATTCCATTCTCCTTGCGCCACTCATGAGTTCTTCTTTAAGCGTTCTGTGTCTTTGTGTCCACTGCGTCATCCCAAAGGACCAACTGTGCATGTTTCATTGGAAAATAAGTATCTGCGAGCTGGTCGTTTTCATAAATTTAAATATTCAATTGAAGACACCCATCAGAATAAATGCTTGATCGCTCCACCCATGTATCGACTTCTCTGCTGGAAACAGCCTTTCTTACGGGCTTCTCTCCTGGGCCCACCAACTGGGCAGGGCCCAGGCATTGGATTCACATGGTCTTTGAGCAGTTCTGAAATTAGTAGGTAATCCTTGACTTACAGCCATTGATTTAGTGACAGTTTGAAGTTGCAATGGCACTAAAAAAAAGTGTCTTATAGCCAGTTTGCACACTTACGACCATTGTCTCGCCTTTCCATGGCCACAGGATCAAAATTCGGGTGGTTGGCCACTGGCATGTATTTATGACAGTTGTGCTGTCATGGGATCATGGGATCGCCATATGTAACCTTCCCAGCTGGCTTTTGCCAAACAGAGTCAATGGGGGAAGTCAGCTTCGCACAATGACTGTGTGGTTCACTTAACAACTGCAGTGATTTGCTTTTATCCACAACAGTGGCGGGAAAAGTTCATAAAATGGGGCAAAACTCATTTAACTACCTTGCTTAGAAATGGAAAATTTTGGCCATAAGTCAAGGACCACCTATATTCTAAAATCTTATCAAATCTAAGGCAGCTGCAGCTGGTTGTTTTCCCCCCTGTGTGTTCAGCTTTTGATCTCTCCAAATATTTGTTGAAATAGTACAAATGTTCTATGTACCATTGTGATGTAACCATTGGCATTTCCATAAGTGAAGATCTCGTACATCTGCATGATGGTCCATCTCAAAACAATGAGAAGCATAGGCAGAAAAGGGACCACTTGTGTTTAAGGGTCACGTTTAAAAGTTAAAACGGGGCTTTGAAGTGCGAAGATGTTGAGATAGTTGCAAGGGACCTCATACGCTTTTTCAAAGTCAGTTGCTGCTTTAACTGATCAGGTGGGCATGAACCTGTGGGCATCGTGACAACACGGCAATGCCAGTGGAACGCAATGTGTGAACTTTGTTGGTTTTCTGATTCCCTTCAGGCTGTTGCAAAAGATTTCCGAGGAACACGGGTAAGTGGAATGACGGAAGCATGGCAGCCTGTGAACGCCCCCCTAATTCTCCCGTCGAACCCCTTGTAACTCCGCTTGAGGCCATGTATGCATGTGCTTTTGGGTCTGGCGCTCAACTGGCTTGCAAAGCCCCCTCGGAAGCATCTTTGGGGACCCCACCCCAGGGGCTGCTGCTGCTCCTGGAGACCCACAAGAGGCTTCCTTGGAAGCTTGGGGGAGGGGGGGAGCTCTAGGCACAGCTTTGCAAATTCTCACAAACGGCTCCAGTTGTGGTAAAAGGTTGGCAACCCTGCTTCTCTTTGGCTAAAGACTCAGAATAAGTCAGAGGCAAAAATAACATATACCCATTGCGGTGTAAGCCAGTTGTCACAAGACGTCGTGCTGCTGTCGTCTGTAAGTCGGGGAAGCGTCCAGTTGCATGCAGCACTTTTTATCCCAGGTCTCTGAAACAGCCGCGCTCAGAGCATTCTTTTTCATCTTAAATTATTTAATTTTTTTGAAGTTTTATTGTGTTGATTAAATTGTACATCATTGTGAAGGAGGTAAGGGTTTGAACAGTTTAATAAACAAACAAATGGTCAGAGTTTGCAGCAGCCATCACATCCAGAAAGCACACACAGGTAACTGATTCTGCAGGATTCGTTAACTTCTCTTGCTTGTCGATCAAAAGGTTGGCAGTTCAGCGGTTCAAATCCCTAGTGCCGTGTAATGGGGTGAGCTCCCGTTACTTGTCCCAGCTTCTGCCAACCTAGCAGTTCTAAAGCATGTAAAAAAATGCAAGTAGAAATATAGGGACCACCTTTGGTGGGAAGGTAACAGCATTCTGTGCGCCTTTGGCATTTAATCATGCTGGCCACATGACCACAAAGACATCTTCGGACAGTGCTGGCTCTTCGGCTTTGAAACGGAGATGAGCACCGCCCCCTAGAGTCAGGGACGACTAGCACATATGTGCGGGAGAACCTGTACCTTTACCTTTATATATAATACAACACATAAGTAAATGTACAGTACCAATGGCAGGTTCTCCCAACATGGTAGTAGTTACAAGCAAACACAGGAAGAGGAGAGAAGAGTTTCAGTTACAATTCAGCAGACGGAGTAGATTTTGCACAGAGCAGCAGACTCAGAGCTCAGCACAGCTAAACCACACCCAGACTACTTGCTTAAGTTTCAGTTTCCAAACAGCCCTCATTGGCTGACTTGTTGCCATGCCTATTCATTGGCTGACCTTGTTACTATGCCCTATTCCAGTTCATGAATATTCTGACACAAATGTTCCGACAAAGTCAAAACCTGCCATATCTGTAGAAGAATCCTCGAAACGTTTGAGGGAGCCACAGAAAAAGGAGGATCAGAGCCCACGCAGAGCAGATAAAGGAAATAGTAGAACATGGATTGAAAAAATATTTTAAAAAAGATCTTACATCCCCATAGCCAGCAATGCAGGCCACCCGAAATAATATTTTTGAATACCTCAACAACAGTAGAAGCTACAGTACTGGATGCCCCTCAGAACAACTTACAACCAACACAAATCTGTATTTCTTGGGGTTGTTATTGCACACAACATACTTTTAATATTTGGCAATCGTTTAAAAAGAAAATCACAACCTATGGGAAGGACAACCTTATGTTGCTATCCTTGCGCTCTTAATTACAGATGTTTCTTTTTAATTCTAGTAAAGAATTTAAGAGACAATAAAAACAATGCCTCTTACTTAGGTTCAAAATTATTCTCAGTCTGTGAATGGGTGCCGAACTGGCTCTCTCATACCACCCTTTCAAAACTTGGAGGAGTTTAAAAGAAAACAAGCCAAGAACTGTTTTCTCAGCATGAAATTAAGTGGCCTGTTCTTTCCTGAACTCTGGATGGAAATCTGGCACCTAAGAGGATGCTAGAGTCCAAGATGGGCCTGTTTCAAACTCAAAACATTTCAGGCACCTCTGTAGCATCGGCTCTTTGGGCCTCCAATGCCTAAACTGCTTTCCTGGGCCAAGCAGATGCAGTGGTGAATTGCAAAGGCACAAAAGCAGATGGTCTCTACAGCTATTGCAGAACATCATGCTGCTTAAAGAATGTTCCCTTTGTTAACAGGGAAGTAGAAATGGATCCATATATATATATATATATATAGAGAGAGAGAGAGAGAGAGAGTATATACACAGATATGCAAAGCATTTTCTTGCAAAGCATTTTTCCAATTTAAAATGTAGAGGGAAGAATCAATAGGGGGAGGAAATTTTCAGATAGATTAGATAGATTACATTTACATTTTATTTATTTTTAAAATTTTATTTGATTTATATACCGCCCTACTCCCGAAGGACTCAGGGCGGTGAACAGGCACAAGATAAAACACATAGAATACAAAAATTTAAGAGCAGAAGTAAAATCGGATTAAATCGATTTAGCCCAAGACAAATTTAAAACCCCAGGTTAAGAACAAATTAAAATTTACATTAAAATTTACATTAAAAAGAGAATGGGAGAGGTTAGGCCAGACCAGCCTGGTGAAATAAAAAGATCTTGAGAGCGCAGCGGAAGGTGCGTAGATCCGGGATCCTCCGTATCTCCGGGGGGGCGCTCGTTCCAGATAGTAGGTACCCCCACAGAGAAGGCTAGATAGATAGGCAGGCAGGCAGATAATGGACGGACACAGACAGACATACCGTAGATAGATTCTGTAGACAGACAAACAGATAATAGATAGATGATGGATGGATGGATGGATGGATGGATGGATAGATAGATAGATCAGAGAGAAATAAAATGGGTGGCTAAGAGAGAGAGAGAGAAAGATGATGGATGAATAAAAGATAGGTAACCCTGAAAAAGAAAGAGAGAGAGAGAGAGAGAAAGGAAGGAAGGAGAGAAAGAAAGAAAAGAAAAAAGTAATAAAAAGAAAAAGCAAGCAAGCAAGCAAAAAAAGATAACCCAGGGAGGAAATTCTGATCCAGGCTGAGCTCTGAGAGTTGCTTTGGCTGATGCTGCTACTGCTGATGTGCATGGGGGCTGCCTTGGGGGTGGGGGGTGGGGGGAGGGCATGTGAGGACTGGGTGAAGATGCATGAGTCATCACTTCTTTGAAGTCTTGTCTAAGGGGGTGGGGGGTATTGGAAGGCAGCAGGATTTGGAAGAGGACCAGATCTGCAATCAATCTAGAGATTAACTCCATCCTAACAGGTTATCAGCTGCCACAATCAGCAAGGGTCCCTGGGAAGGGACATAACTCTTGACTCTGATTTGCTTAGATCTTTGTTATTAATTACAAAGTGATGAATTTTGTCATATGTTACTTTTCTTTGCCGCAGCTGCTGCTGCTTCTTCTTCTTCTTCTTCTTCTTCTTCTTCTTCTTCTTCTTCTTCTTTCTTCTTCTTCTCTTCTTCTTCTCTTCTTCTTCTTCTTCTCTTCTTCTTCTTCTTCTTCTTCTTCTTCTTCTTCTTCTTCTTCTTCTTCTTCTTCCTCTTCCTCTTCCTCTTCCTCTTCCTCTTCTTCCTCTTCTTCCTCTTCTTCTTCTTCTTCTTCTTCTCCTTCTCCTCCATAATAATAATAATAATAATAATAATAATAATAATAATAATAATAATAATAATAATAATAAATATATCCTGGGTTTTTCTTTCTCCACATACACAATCAGGCTGTCTCATTTATGGCAGTTTCTTGGGAGATGAAGAAAGATTAGTCTGAGAAGAACATATTTCCCCATTTTCCTCCTCTTTTTGCTTTGTTTTCGGGATTCGGAAGGGATCTCCCATCTGGAAGAAGGATTCGGGGCACAGCAGATGGGCTTGTGCATGGCTTGTTAAATAAGCCATAATAGCTTGGCTCACCTATAGGACGAAGCTATTAATTGGCTGATAAAACACAATATCGCATTGTATTATGCCCAAACAGTGTCGTATTTCTTTAAAATACGGGATTTGTTTCTTTCTTGCCCGTGCCTACCTACAGTCACTCCTTTGTTCAATGGGGGAGCCACACAGCTTCATGGTTCACTTTAGGGGATTGTAGTAGTGCAAACGTTGGGGTACCCCAGCTGTACATAATGGACAAGCCCAGGACAATCTAGATTTAGCTACCACCTCCCCTTGTTTCTTAGGCTTCCACCTTTAGCTCCCTGCATTGTCACATCCAAAATAAAATGGAGTGGTGCAGTGGCCTAGCAGTGGAACTCTTGCCTCACAATCAGGAGGCTCTGAGTTCGATCCTAGTTAGAGGCAGATATTTCTCTGGGCACAATGAGAATATATCTACTGAACAAAACTCCACATTGGCAACAGGAAGAGCATCCGGCCATTAAATACTCTGCTAGCTCCATTCAGTTGCCCAAACTCCATCCTGCAAGGGATTATGGGGTCGTTAAAGATGATGCTGATGATGATTGCGACGTCAAAATATTTAGTGGAAAGGGTGGAGGGTGGTGGGATTACGGAGAGAAACCTGAACGGGAAGTGTTGAGCAGCTTGCTCTGTAATTCTTAAGATCAAATGCAAAGGGCAGTGTTTGCACCGCCTATTTTGCTCGGCATATTTTAAGGCTACAGGAAATACATGACTTCAGAATCTTTTTTTTTTTTCTTCCTGCGTGCCAAGAGAATCCTGACCATGAAGTGGGAGGGAGACGCTGGGTGTGCCCACATTTGCTTTGATATTCAGTGTAGTAACTTTCAGAGTGTCTTGAGTTACGGATTTGGGAGAGAGAGAGAGACCTTCTAAATAATGACACAGTACTTTGGAAAGGCTTGTGGGACTGGCCTCCTCCTCTTTATTCCCTTTCATTAAAATTCATTAAAAGCTACATAAAGTGTTCTATAAAAAGATAACCCACGGAAGATGGTTAGGAAGGGGGTAGTTTCAGTATTTCGTTTAAATATAAGGAGAAAACAAAATCTGATGGTAACATCCGTTCCATCGCAGTGTGACAGATGTGGCTTCTCCATCTCTGGAGTTTCTTTAAGAAGAGGCTGGAGAATCACCTCTTTTAATTGGTTTTCTTCTCCCTTGTAAGAGGATTGGACCAGATCATCCTTGTGGCTCCTTCCAACTCCACAACTCTGCGATTCTCTGTAACAGCAATAGCACTTAGACTTATGTAGGAAGACTGCAGAGTCAGACATGTATAGAATTAAGGCAATTCAGACTAATGATTAAGAGAATTGCTTAAGAATTCATAAATCAAAACAAGAAACAGGCAGGCTTAGGCAGAAAAATTCAAGGTCCTGCACTATTATGCAATAAGCAATTGAAGGTCATCATACAGATGCATTCTTTAGCAATAGCCATAACACTTAGACTTATATACCGCTTTACATTTCTCTGTAAGCGGTTTACAGAGTCAGCATATTGCCCCAACAATCTGGGTCCTCATTTTACCGACCTTGGAAGGATGGAAAAATGGGTCAACCTGGTGAGATCCGAACTGCCAAACTGCTGGCAGCCAGCAGTCAGCAGATGTAGCCTGCAGTACTGCATTCTAACCGCTGCACCACCATGGCTCTTTGTGTAGGAGGGTATGTAGGAGATGGCCTACACACCCTACACACCACTAAAAACCTGCCTCGTCGTAGACCACCCTTAGTCCTGTTCCTTCTAATCAGATGGTTAAATCGCCTCTTGAAGAAGGAAATGGTCTGGAATTCTAAAAAGTCTTTCTCTACCTTCAGGAGTAAATCCTTGAATGACGTCAGTGCAGATGAGCTACAAACGATCCGGCAGATGCGTTACGAAGAGCTCCAGAAAATAAAAACTCAGCTGCGGGAACAAGACCAACAGTGGCAAGATGTAAGTGCCTTCTTTGCTGTCCCTCTGGGTGGTTCTAGAAGACGGTCACAGCAAACTGAATTTGGGTGGCAGCCTTCACACCTTGTGCCTATCAGTAGCAGGAGATGGGATGGCACATGGGTTGGGTTCTCCTTTAGAAGTTTCAGCCAGCGGGAGGAGGGCTGAGGGTGGGAACAGAGTAATGGGAGATGGATGAAAGGCCCAGGAGAACTTCAGAAGATGCGTTCTCTAGCTTTGGTCTCCATATCATCCAATGGAAACAGAGAAACCATGGGATTTTTCTTCCAATGGTGGTGCTTGGCAGCAGAAGGCATCGGATGAGAATTCAGCAAGGTGCATTTTCTGTCTGAGAAAAGAATAGACAGAATCCACTATAAACAACAAGCATTGCAACAGCAGATATAAAATTGATGAGCAGATTGTGATAAGTAAAGACCATGCACAATTTAAAAGGGGTAAATTTTGCTGGAGCCAAAAGGACAACAGAGGAGAACTCAAGGTAGTTCTCAAGACAGGAAGGTGCAACCATTAAGGTGGCCAGTTCTTAAGAAATTGCCTACCACACATGTCCTACCACACCTTTAAAGCGCTCCATGGCATAGGACCCGGGTACCTTCGAGACCGTCTTCTGCCACCAATAGCCTCCCACCGACCAGTCCGTTCCCACAGAGAGGGTCTCCTCAGGGTGCCATCGGCCAAGTTATGTCGGCTGGCGACACCCAGGGGGAGGGCCTTCTCCGTGGGAGCCCCAGCCCTGTGGAATGAACTGCCCCCGGAAATACGTAAGATCTCTGACCTCCGGGTGTTCCGCTGCGCACTGAAGACCCTGTTGTTCCGCCAGGCAGGGCTATCAACATAATAATTTTAAATTGGGGTATTTTAAATTTTTGGGGTTTTAAATCGGCCAAACCTATTTAATTATTTTAATTTTTAATCATTGTTGTGTCCTGTGTTTTTAAATTGGCTGTACACCGCCCTGAGTCCTTCGGGAGGAGGGCGGTATAGAAATAAAATTATTATTATTATTATTATTATTATTATTATTATTATTATTATTATTATTATATTATTATTATTATTATTATTTATTATTATTATTATTATTATTATTATTATTATTATTATTATTATTCTCATGGGCTAAAGTGTGAGAACAACAGTGTTGGGAGGAAAATCCATCTGATTTCAGTTCCAAGCTGAGAGAAAGAGGCTGGAAGCAACATGGAGGCTGATTGGAAAGAAAGTTTAATGATGAAGCAGAACCACCAGGATTTGTGGTTGTGGTGCACCTGACAAAATGGTTGAATGAGTGGATGGATCTTTATAGGTTTCTGTGACTTTGAAGTTTGAAAGGTTCTGGGATTAATGCATTGAAGGGGCTTGTGTTCTGAAAGGGTGTTGGGCAATTCCTGTTATGGCTAATGGCTTTCCTTCTGTGTTAGATCTTGGGTGAGGGGCTGCTTGTTCTAATCCTACCAATCTGCTTTTGTTAGCTGTCAAACTTTGCTACAAGGAGTTTCAAAATATCTTCTCTCGAATGGATTACCGTGTTTCCCCGAAAATAAGACCCTGTCTTATATTTTTTTGAACCCTGAAATAAGTGCTTGGCCTTACTGCCATGTGCTCAAATGTCCGGAAGGGCCACCATCAGTGAGCTGTTGGACAGCATTACTTGGTCTGTTGTGTGGATGTTTGGGTGGTTTAGGGGTGGGGAACTGTGGTGGGTGGGAGTGTGTTTGGGGATTGTTATGTGTGTTGGACCTGGTCTTTGGGTGTTAAGTGAATTTCGTTGTATGGGTATACTGTGTATAAACATACAATGACAATAAAGTAGTTATTATTTTAAATTGACAGTATACACAGCAAACGAAATGACCATGTTGGACTTTGTATCCCAAATCACTATAGTTGTTGTTGTTGTTGTTGTTGTTATTATTATTATTATTATTATTGGTTAATCTTTATTGAGCCTTGGTAGTACAGTGGTCTAAAGCACCCTGTTATTAAGACCAGCTGCCTGCAATTACTGCAGGTTCGAATCTCGCCAGGCTCAAGGTTGACTCAGCCTTCCATCCTTTCTAAGGTAGGTAAATTGAGGACCCAGTTGTGGGGGCAATAAGCTGACTTTGTATAAATATACAAAAGGATGAAGGCTATTGCTGAGCACATTGTAAGCCGCCCTGAATCTCCGGAGAAGGGCGGCATATAAATCAAATTAAAAATAAAAAAAATGAGATTCACAGCCTTTGAGGCTGGTTAATAGCTCAGCAGCTCGAGTCCTAACCAAGGACCTAGGAACTGTTAATTATTATTATTATTATTATTATTATTATTATTATTATTATTATTATTATTATTATTACTACTACTACTACTACTACTACTACTACTACTACTACTACTACTATCAGGGGATCTCTTATTTTAGGGGAAACAGGTACCAAATCTGCATTTCTAAAAGCTGTCCTCCACAGTTTCTGCTTGGGGGCAGGGAGACTGGGGCTAGTATCTGCCTTCCTTAAGATTTTTTTCCCCCATTTCTCCTCTAGGGGAAATATTCTATCTTTTTTTTAAAAAAAAATATTTTCCAAAATATTTCATTCTTCTGGCGGGGGGGGGGGGGAGGGGGGGGGGTGGAATTCCCACAACAGCAATATGGGAAAGTGGGGCTGAAATTAACATCAACAACAAGTGAAGTCATCCCTATTGCGGAAATATATTCATCAGTTAGGGTGGCTGAGAATTCAATACTCTTTTGGTTTTCAGTCACCCATTTGAATTACACCAGGTAATTCAAGATAAGGTGGAATGCTCCTGAGCTGGGTGATCAGGTTAATAATAAATAAATAAATAAATAAATAAATAAAAAAAGAAACCAGCTCCTGTTGCTCCTTTGAATAACAATGACTATAAAGTTGGAAGCCTGCTAGGGTTTATGGAGAGGATATTAGGAAGGAATATTGGAATGTCAGGTGCTTCCTTTTCCGAGCAGCAGGTGCATTTTCTCCTGCAAAACTTTTTTTTTTAAGCGTCAGGAAGCTGAAAGGCTGCCATTGTTCACATCGGGGACAGGCTGGTGAAAAAGACATTTGAGAAGGCAGCCAACCAGGGATCTCAGGTGAAAACAGTCCGTTGCGCAGTCTTTTCGCCAGGGAACGCGGCCCTTGAACGTTCAGCCGGAGGAGCTTACAGAACGAGGCTTTTTACCGAACGTTGTTTGATGTGGAGTTTTGTTTTGTTTTTTTTCCTGCGTAGGATTTGGCAAAATGGAAAAGTAGGCGCAGGAGTCACACCTCGGATCTGCAGAGGAAAAAGGAGGAAAGAGAAGAAATTGAGCGAAGGAGTTCGGAAAGCTCGGAGCGGCGCAGCAAAACCCTGAGAGAAATGCAGAGAGACAGGTAATACTAGCCAGCTGCGTCTAGTAGCATTAAAGGCTTAATCCTTTTTAGGTTGGCTTGAATTCAGCAGCAACTAGATTTCACTGATTGCCTTTGAATTTATTTTACACACGCTCAGTTTGCTGGCATATTTAATTTTCAGGTCTTTTCACCGGGAGTGAAAATTTGATCATTGCATTCCTAAATAATTAAAAGATAGTCATCTACTACCAGTAAAATTAATTTACCAAATAGGTCATTAATTTAAGTACGCATTTTGAAAGGAACCTTTTAATTTCAGCTTCATTGAAGGTTGCCGTACTAGCTGGGTTCATTTTCAACTGCCTCATTGGGGTTTTTTTTTTGCGTTTAAGGCAGAGGTCTTCAAACTTGGCAGCTTTAAGACTTGTGGACTTCAACTCCCAGAATTCTCCAGCCAGCTGGCTGGAGAATTCTGGGAGTTGAAATCCACAAGTCTTAAAGCCGCCAAGTTTGAAGACTTCTGGTTTAAGGTATTTTTCTCTGGATTCCAAACCGGCTTGTTTTGACACAGGCCTCATTTCTGCATTTTTAATATAAGTCTTATGTAACTACTGGGGAGAATTGTAGGGGGGAATGGGGGGGAGTTGTTTGTCCTGCAAAAGAGGCTTTTAAAGAACTTCCCTGGCCTGTCTCATTTTGTCCTAGTTTGACGCTATCAGGTATCCTGAGTTCTTTTCAGGTGAAATACAAGGGGCCCCTTCACACTTCCTTAAGAAGGAATGCACAAATAACATTCTGTTTATAGACAGTCCTTGACTTACGAGCACAGTTGAGCCCAACATTTCTGTTGCTAAGCAAGACGGTGGTTAAGTGAATTTTAGCCCCATTTTAAAACCTTTCTTGCTCCAGTTGGGAAGTGAATTGCTGCAGGTGTTAAGTTAATAACAGGGTTGTTAAGTGAATCTGGCTTCCCCATTGACTCTGCTTGTCAGGAGGTTGCAAAAGTGATCACATGACCCTGGGGCACTGCAACAGTCATAAGTACATGCCAGTTGCCAAGCGTCTGAATTTTGATTGTGTGACCATGCGGATGCTTGCAACGGTCCCAAGTGTGAAAAACCATCATAAGTCATTTTTTTTCAGTGTCGTAACTTCAAGCAGTCCCTAAATGAACGATTGTAAGTTGACGATTGAGTTTGATACCATTGGGTCTTAAAATATAATCCCCCTAATGGTCAAGCAGCATGGGAGATTTTACCCTTTCATTTGAAACGTCCACCAATCCTCTTTATCTGACATAGATTAAAAAAAAAAAAAAGCCCAGAGAAAAACGTGCCACCAAGCATCGCGAAAATAGTAGTACATGTTACTTTGGGGATAAAAAAGTGTTGTAGAACAGCCTTGAATCTTACTGTGCCCCCTTTGAATTAGCATAACTGCAACCTTACAAGTTACAAACACACACACACACACACACACACACAGAGAGAGAGAGCAGCGGTGGGTTTCAGAAATCGGTTTGCGGGTGGGTGCACCTTCCATGCATGCACCCAGCCTCGAAAACGTGTCTAAATAGGATGGCATTACATCCGGCCGTGTGGGCGGGGGCTCACCTGCAGTCGCCGCTACCAGTTCACCCAAACTGGTGCGAACCGGCAGAATACCACCTCTGACACAGAGGCTGTCAGCACTCCAAACTACATTTGTTCCAGTGCTGACATAAGGAGGAGAAGAGGGGGCAGCTGGCAAGAGGACGCTTGACTTTTCACCTACTTATTTTCCCTGAAGATAATATCCCCTAGGAGATGGGATGGGAGGGGGGACATTCCTGGGAGCTGAAGTAGTAGATATGGGGAGAGTGATTTGAAAGATGGCCAATGAGACGCAGAGAATTGGGGAACGGAAAGGGAAGGTTTGGGGTCAGGAAGTCAGTGTTGGCTACAACGTAGTTGGGAACAGATTGTTGTGCTTAATAAATGAAAGATTTCATCAAAGACTATTTGTTTGGAAATGCAATTTATTTGAGACGACACCGTAACCTGACAGAGGCTACTTTTGAGGTTACCGGTTACCCAGAGCTCTTGCTTTTCTTCTAGAGAGAGGCGAGATCAAGCTCCTCTGAGGAACTCTTGGCAGGAGACGGAACAATTGTATTTCTCGAACGATGACGTCTTTCGGGAAGAGAAAGCGTCTCCCAAAGTTGGCGTTCCAACCGAAGCAAACGGAGGCTTGAAAAGGGAAGATGATCATGAGCTGAGGAAACGGAAACCAGAGTGTGGGGTGAAGGATGAGCCTCTCGTCTCAGTAGACAGCCTGGCCGGAGAAAGGACGGAGTCCCCTTTGCCAAGTTCCCAATCATCCAATGCCCAAACCGGAACTGGTCGGGTTTCAGCCTCCCTATCAAGGAGTTATCAGAAGACGGACACAGCCAGGCTGACATCGGTGGTCACCCCGAGGCCGTTTGGAGCCCCTATGAGAGGAATCTCCTCACTTCCCAGGTCCTTTACGGTAAAAGCTGGCTTCTGTCTTAAGATTTGGGGAAGCACCTCTGGCTAATTTTACACTTTAACTGCTTCTGTATCTACAGTCAGAATGTATCTAAAATATAAAGAAGGATATATGATATATGAACAATTAATCAGTGGAACAACTTGCCACCAGAAGTTGTAAATGTTCCAACACTGGAAGTGTTTAAGAAAAGATTGGATAACCATTTGTCTGAAGTGGTGTAGGGTTTCCTGCCTAAGCAGGGGGTTGGACTAGAAGACCTCCAAGGTCCCTTCCAACCCTGTTCTCTATTCTATTCTATTCTATTATGTGTTAAATACACAATCACAGTCATGTCATGAAAAACCACAATGACATATTGGATGTACCACATCTGCAATTTGCCTGAGTGTTTCAGAAATATTAGAAAGACGAGGCCGATCTTCTTTAGGATTCGAGATGGGTATTGAAATTGGTAGCAGCAAATTAAAGGCTCCCGCTACTAGGACCCAACATTCATTCTTGTTGAGATTCTGCTTGTTACGTGATATGTTTGGGTGTATATAGACGCATAAGCTCCTTCTGGAGATTTCCTACGGAAATGGTAAAACTACTCACATAAGAGAAATCAAAAGGTGATATTTCACTTTGGATTTGTAACTATTTGTCCACTATTTGTATATCATCACATCAAACTTAGTGTTTTAAATTCTTTAATTTATTTGTAAAATATTCCTACCCCAGAGGTGGGTTTTAGCAGGTTCTGACCAGTTCTGGACAACTGGTAGCGGAAATTTTGAGTAGTTTGTAGAACCGGTAAATACCACCTACGACTGGCCCCACCCCCATCTATTCTCTGCCTCCCAAGTCCCAGCTGATCAGGAGGACATGGGGATTTTACAGTAATCTTCCCCTGGAGTAGGGAAGGAATAGGGATTTTACAGTATCCTTCCCCTGGAGTGGGGTGGGAATGGAGATTTTACAGTATCCTTCCTCTGCCACACCCACCAAGCCATGTCACACCCACCAAGCCACACCCACAGAACCGGTAGTAAAAAAATTTGAAACTCACCACTGAGCTACCCCTTCTATATACTGTATTATATCCTTTCAACTTAGTCTTTTAATGATAAGAAGTATTAGGGGCGACATGATAGCAGTATTCCAATATCTACCTGTATCTACCTGTATTCTGTCCTGGTCTCCTGGAAGGAAGGCAAAGATATAAATCTCACCATTTAATGCAAACAGGAATTCATGCACTACCCTCAGCTGTGGTGCAATGCAGAGACACCTGCAGAAAAAGTCAGATCCAATTAAATTAGGGACACATAATGTGTTTCCCTGATCCCAGCATTTCACTAACTCTGCTTGGCTTTTTGAGATGGATTGGCTTCTTATTCAATTCAATTCGATTGAAAACATTGCAGGAATTGGGTACGTCTAATCTAGTGAAAAGAAGGACTAGGGTGACATGATAGCAGTGTTCCAATATTTGAGGGGCTGCCACAAAGAAAAGGGGGTCAACCTATTCTCCAAAGTATCTGAAGACAGGACAAGAAGCAACGGATGGAAACTAATCAAGGAGAGAACCAATCTAGAACTTAGAAGAAATTTCCTGACAGTGAGAACAATTAACTAGTGGGAACTGGCGTTCAGAAGTTGTGGCCGCTCCATCGCTGGGGGCTTTTAAGAAGAGATTGGACAGTCATTTGTCTGAAGTGATATAGGGTTTCCAGCTTTAGCAGGGCGTTGGACTAGAAGACCTCCATGGTCCCGTCCAAATAACTATTCTATATTAACACTGAAGATGATTAGCAAGGCACATAGGGCCTGGGAAAACATGGGGAAGATTTTCAGTAGGTGCTGCCCAGACTAATGTTGGAGATGTCTCTTTTAAATACCTTTCTTCCAGATGGATGCAACTGTGAAATACAATGGAGGACTGGAAGGGCCCAAGAGTGCTCAGTCAGGGCACAGCAGGGGCTCCGAGGCTCAGACAGGAGGAGTTCAAGGCCAAGGCAAGATGGAGCCCCAAGTTGCAGAAGACAGCAAAACCAGAACAAGCCACTTGCTGGAGGAGCAGAGAAGAGGAACGCCTGAGTTGGAGCCTAAATCAGATCATCACACCAGTTCCAACTCGATGACTATCACGTCTTCTGCCCCCAAGGAGAGAACCCTTTCAGCGACTGAGGAGTCAAGACGGCACGTAAGTTGAAGAGAGGCTCCAGTTTTTTTCCAAAATACAGGAAGCTGCACACCCCTAAAGAATTAGGCATTACTTGTAAACTAGAGAAAAACATGGATAACTTTCCTAGAAAAGGGAATATTGAGGTAGTCAGCCTTGTGAATAAATGGGAAGTTCTTCTAATGAATCACAAATGCGAGGGAAGAGTTGGATTTGAAACAGTTTTCTAGAACTCTGTGGCTCATAAGACTTTTTCTAGAGAGGTCAGAAGAGGGCTAGAAAGTGCCATGGCTTGTGAAGAACAGTTTCATGATACAAGAAGTAGCTTCAGAGGTTAATCCTGCGGGAAATGCCTTCTTAGTTGCACTGCTCTGTGGGGCTTAGTACAGGAAGGTCTCAGTTCCAGTGGTGGGTTGCTCCTGGTTCACACTGGTTCGCAAGAACCGGTAGTAAAAATTTGTAGTAGTTCAGAGAACCGGTAATAATATTGGCTGGCCATGCCCCCGAACCGGTCCGCGGCCCGGTCGCTGCTCGCTCACCCCCCCCACCTTAACAGACTTTTTTTTTTTTTTTTACTTTTAAAAGCATTTTTTCTACAACCTCTTCGGCCGAAAAAATGCTTTTAAAAGTTAAAAAAAAAAAAAGCCTCTGATGATCGCACGATTCAGCTGGGATCGTCAAAGGCTTCTGAAAGCATTTTTTCTCCAACGTCTTCCGCCGAAGAGGTTGTAGAAAAAAAAAATGCCTTTAAAAGCCTCTGACGATCCCAGCTGAGTTGTCTGATCGTCAGAGGCTCCTGAAAGCATTTTTTTCTGAAATCTCTTAAGGTTGTAGAAAAAATTCTTTTAAAAGTAAAAAAAAAAAAAATTGGCCACGCCCACTCAGTCACATTACCCCCCACCCAACAAGCCATGCCCACAAAATAAGCCACGCCCACAGAACCGGTAGTAAAAAAAAATTAGAACCCACCCCTGCTCAGTTCCTGTCTGTAAGGACTGTTATATTCATGTTGCTTTAGTGTTCTGATTGATTTCTAACACTGCAAACAATAGGTAGGGTCTTAAATCACTTAAGATGTCAGGAGGGACAGGACATAAATAGTGATTGCCCCGGCTGTGCCTGAAACAATCTAAAAAAACTAGCTAAGGTAATGTGAATGAATGACTCTTGACATTCTTTTCTCTGGTGTCTTCTTCCTCCTCCTCTTTTTAGGAGCAATACAGTGATATGAGAATCAGTATAAATCAGAAACCAGGCAGCAATCGTAACTTTGGATTTGCCGTGTCCCAGAATCCTTCTGGTGTCTTTGTGAAATCAATCGAAGAAGGTAAACACCAGTATTTAACTCTTGCAGTTATTTTGGGAAAGGAAAGAAAAAGAAGGAAAAGGAAGGAAAGGAAGGGCAGGGAAGGGAAGGAAAGAGAAGGAAAGGAAAGGAGGGATGGGGGGAGAGGAGGAGAGTGGGGAGAAGGGGAAAGGAAAGGAAAGGGGAAAGAAAAGAGAAGAGAGGAGAGGAAAGGAAAGAAGGAAAGGAAAGGAAGGAAAGGAAAGGAAAGGAAAGGAAAGGAAAGGAAAGGAAAGAAAGGGAAAGGAAAGAAAGGGAAAGGAAAGAAAGGGAAAGGAAAGGAAAGCTATGACTCTGAGAAAGGTTGGCAGTTCAGTGGTTCGAATCTCTAGAATAGGTCTCCTGTGTGAGCAGGGGGTTAGACTAGATGACCTCCAAGTTCCCTTCCAACTCTGTTACTGTTACAAAGGAAAGGAAAAATTCAGGTTGGAAGAATGTAAAAAAATGTAGAGACTGTGGACTTGCCAAGTTGACTTGCTTTAAGTCTCTGCTGGTTCCTTCTAAAGCCTCAAACAATTTGATATTAGCATTCAACTGCAGGACCATCTCATCTCCTAACAGCTTTTACTATGGACCTATGCAGGAAAGTCTGGCCGAACTTTCCAACATTGATCTTCCTGCCAAAAGATTTTCTTTTTCTTCAGAAGAAACGCCCCTTCTGGTGTCGCAGAAACTTTCATGGCACCATCCAGCATTCCAAAGGGGCACTTTGCAAAGTGGTCTCCGCTTGAGCCCAGAACATTACTTCATCGTCACCTCCTTCCCACACCTGCTCCAAAGGGCGCCCACGCAGCCAGCCCTCCCAGGCAATGCTCTGAAAGCAGGCAGCTGCCTTAACGCTTTAGGAGAGAGGCTTTGCTCCAGGGGTGAAATCCAGCAGGTTCTGACAGGTTCTGGAGAACCGGTAGCGGAAATTTTCAGTAGTTCGGAGAACTGGCAAATACCACCTCTGGATGGCCCCAGAGTGGGGTGGGAATGGTGATTTTGTAATATCCTTCCCCCAGGAGTGGAGAGGGAATGGAGATATTGCAGTATCCTTCTCCCAGGAGTGGGGAAGGAATGGGGATTTTGCAGTATCCTTCCCCCAGGAGTGGGGAGGTGTGGAGAAGGAATAGGGATTTTGCAGTATCCTTCCCCCAGGAATGTGGTGGGAATGGATATTTTGCAGTATCCTTCCCCTGGAGTGGGGTGGGAATAGAGATTTTGCAGCATCCTTCCCTGGAATGGGGAGGGAATGGGGATTTTGCAGTATCCTTCCCCCAGGAGTGGGGAGAAGAAATAAGGATTTTGCAGTATCCTTCCCTGGAATGAGGAGGGAATGGGGATTTTGCAGTATCCTTCCCCTGGAGTGGAGAGGGAATGGATATTTTGCAGTATCCTTCCCCTGGAGTGGGGAAGGAATAGGGATTTTGCCGTATCCTCCCCTGCCTTGCCCACCAAGCCATGCCACACCCTCCACGCCATGCCCACAGAACCGGTAGTAAAAAAATTTGAATCCCACCACTGACTAACATGCTCTGCAGAATTGACTCTGGATATTTGGAGGTCTTAGTATGTGGGGGGTTTTTTTGGCTTTTCTCTCAACAGGCAGCCCTGCAGATTTTTGCCAGTTGAAAGTTGGGGATGAAATCCTATCCCTCGGGGGCACCAACATTTCACACCTGGAGCAGGGCGAGTGGGACACTGCCATCAACCAGGCCCTGGAAAATGGATGCCTCGTCATGGACGTGAGGCGGCATGGAAAGAAGGGTGCGTGTTTAATTACACTGAGGGCAGTGTGTGTTGTCTCCTCTCTATGCTGTATTATGGTGGATGACTTCTGAATTCTTACAGCCTTCATCAAGAGCTGGTGGTTTGTTTCCATTAAAATGTATCTGGGGTTAGTATTTCTGCTTTTGTAAAAAATAATAATAAAGTATTTATGGCAAGAAATATATTTATTATTTTGGTATCGTTGCATGAATTACAGCGTAACTAGCAGGTTGAGCAAGTTTGCTTTCTAGAAATTGGGAAGTCATCTCCTGGAGTAAAGAGGTGCTTGGAAAGAGTTGATCGCAATCTACCGTACTTTGATTGTGTCTATTCATTAGACAACGATATGCTGGAAGACTCTTAAAATCAACTTCACTTCCCAACTTTTTGAAAATTCTTCTGATTTAAAATAAAGTTGATGTCAGTAAACTTGCTATTTGTTGTGCAAACTAATTCTTGCTTTGGGGGAAAAAAATGGTCTATAGGAGGGGTCTCCAACCTTGACAACTTTAAGACCTGTGGACTTCAACTCCCAGAATTCCCCAGCCAGAGGAATTCTGGGAACTGAAGTCCACAAGTCTTAAAGTTGCCAAGTTGTAGACCCCTGGTCTGTAGAATAGTTGTTGTTAGTAAACTTGCTGTTTATTGTGCACACTTTTGACTAACTCCTTGCTTTGGGGAAAAGGCGGTCTTTCATGAAAAGCCCTAACAGATTATTCCACATTAACATCCCAAATCACTCCTTCCTTCTCCTATCCTCTATTATATATATATTTTTTCCTCTTCTTTAAGTGTTGTTCAGATGTATTTTCCTCAGTTCCCTTTACACTTTGACATTCCCCCTGTCTCCTTTTCTCAATTTCTTTTGATCTCCACATATCAATCAGATTGGGGTAAAGACCAGCCTTTCCCGCCATTTGCAAGGCACAAAATCCTCAATCTTACCAGTATGGCTACCAACATTATAGGTACATCTGAAAACAAATGGATTGATGCCACATCCGGAGACCGCACTTCAACGCAAATTCAACAAATGTCAGAAAAGGAGGTGCACAGCCATTTGAAGAATGATGTAAGTATGGACGTGTACCTCCAGAAGGAAGTGTTTGCAACTTCTACTCATGGCGATTACAAAACGTAACATTGTCCTTTTAACATTAAACCTGGGGTTGTACCAGGGGTGAAATCCAGCAGATTCTGACAAGTTCTGGAGAACCGGTAGCGGAAATTTTGAGTAGTTCAGAGAACCGGCAAATATCGCCTCTGGCTGGTCCCAGAGTGAGGTGGGAATGGAGATTTTGCAATATCCTTCCCCCAGGAGTGGCGAGGGAATGGGGATTTTGCAGTATCCTTCCCCTGGAGTGGGTTGGAAATGGGTATTTTGCAGTATCCTTCCTCTACGCCCACCAAGCCACGCCCACAGAACCGGTAGTAAAAAAATTTGAATTTCACTACCGGGTTGTACCATATTCTTCTGTATGGGTAAGTCTTCTGTAAGTGACCTGGAGACATGGGAGTATCTTCAGTATTTTGAGAGTCATTTGGAGATCGTAGTTAAGGATATTGAGCTAGAAACTGGGAGACTGTGAGTTCTAGCCCTGCTTTAGACATGAAGCCAACTGGGTGACCTTGGTCTGGTTCCCTAAAATTTCAGGGACTAATCCAAGCAGTTGCCAGGAGTCGAGGATGACACAAAAGCGTGCATGCACCCACAGCCACACAATATGAACCAGTTGCCCAAATGTCTGAATTTTGATCGCATGACCATGGGGATGCTGCCACGGTCGTAAGTGTGAAAAACGGTCATAAGTCAGTGCCGTTGTAACTTCGAACGGTCACTAAACGAACTGTTTTAAGTTGAGGACTACCTGTACATTCATTGGAGTGGTGCGGTGACCTAGAGGTGGAGCTCTCGCCTCAAGGAGGCTGTCAGTTCGATCCTAGGTAGAGACAGATATTTTTCTCTCTGGGCACAGTGAGAATATACCGTATTTTTCGGTGTATAAGACGCACCGGAGTATAAGACGCACCTTAATTTTGGGGAAGGAAAACAAGGAAAAAAGTATTTTACCTCTGCCTACCAGCATTTAAGGTGGCGCCGCCCTCCTCTTCCTCCTGCAAGCGAGAGGTGCAGGGACTACTTGCTTTCCCTCAAAGAGACCCCTAGCATATTCGGGGGGGAGGGACAGAGCACAGCCTGAGGAACAACCCTCCCTCTTCGGGACAGTGTGTGTGGGGGGAAATCTGCTCTGCTGGCCAAACCCGCGATCCCCTTCCCGATTCCAAACATGGGGTGTGTGCAGAGACAAAAAAAAGTGTACCGTGTTTCAGGCGGCGGATCTGGCCAGGAGGAATGAGAAGTTGAGTCTGCTGAGAAGGAGGACGGGGGCGCGCGGCTCTGCAATGTGCAGAAAAACACTTTTAGGCGTCAGCGCTACAATCTCCTCCCCAAATCCAAAGCACTTCCCAGTTCCCCGCTGCACATTGCAGGGGAACTGGCCGCCACCTGAAGCGCGACTCTTGAGGTTTGCATTTTGGAATCCGGGCAGCGATGGCTGGAAAGGAGGAACGTTTCCCTTTAGGGGCTCCCATTCAGCTCGGCTTGGCTCCTGGGCGCAGAGAGGGTTAGGCAGCGGCGGCGGGGGCTCCTCACATTGCTGGGGAGTGAAGTCAGTGCGGCCAGAGGGGTGACCAGCCGCAAATCGTGGCACCCGCCTTGTTCCCCAAAGCTGCTGGGCAGATTCCCCCCCCCACTGTCCCGAAGTTTGAAGGTTGTTCCTCAGGCTGTGCCCCGACTCAGATCCCTGACGCCTGGAACTGGCCGAAAATGGCCGAAGGGTGGGGGCCGGTGCGTGGGCGGGGTTACATTTGGCGTATAAGACGCACCCAGATTTTCACCCCCTTTTTGGGGGTAAAAAGGTGCGTCTTATACACCGAAAAATACAGTATCTGCGGAACAAAACTCCGCATTGGCGACAGGAAGGGCATCCGGCTATTAAAACACTCTGCTAGCTCCATTCAGTTGCCCAGACTCCACCCCGCAAGGGATTATGGGGTCATTAAAAGGAGATGGCTACCTGTACGATCCTTCTATAGAACTTTTGAATTGTGCATAAAAATTAAAATGCAGCTATTCTGGGCATCAGTTTTCAGAGGATTGGTAGTTTGGTTTGTCAGAAGGGCCAAAGTCTGGTGTTACCTCACGGAGGTGTAAGAAAAGGTGAGATTAAAGCCATCCTATGCTGTTTTTTCCATTTTCAGGGGTCTGAAACAAAAGTCAATGGAATGCAAGACGATACAAGCTCCCGTGAACGAAAAGGTAAAACTGCCAGGTGTACTTGAAGTAAGAGATCTTAATTTTTAATTAGTTTAGCTGAAGAAAGGGACCAGTTCTATAAATCAGTGGCTCCCAACCTTTGGGACACCAGGGACCAGTTCCGTGGAGAGAGATTTTTCCGCGGACTGGAAGGGGCATGGCTTCACGTGCTGTGTGCATCCCGCGGATGGGGCTTTGCTTATTTGCATGGACCGGTTACTGGGATGCTATGGTAACCGGTTCCGATCCATGAACCAGGGGTTGGGGACCCCTGCTATAAAGAGTAAAGAATAAATAATTTTTTATTAGCTGCTAATAAAAACACAGTGGGTTTAGAAATAATTTTTTTAAAAAGGTAGAAATGCAGCAAGTTGACAGAGCCTTGGGTGTTAGAGTGCAGTCCTGCAGGCTACTTCTGCTGCCTGCTGGCTGCCTGCAATTTGGTAGTTCAAATCCCACCAGGCTAAAGGTTGACTCGGCCTTCCATCCTTCCGAGGTCGGTAAAATGAGGACCCAAATTATTGGGGGCAATATGCTGACTCTGTAAAACCGCTTAGAGAGGGCTGTAAAAGCACTGTAAAGCGGTATATAAGTCTAAGTGCTATTGCTATACCAAGAGGGGAAGTTTTTAACCTGTTCTGAGTCATCCGCCTTCCAACCCCTTTTTTCAACCTGCTGGGCATGGTGAGTTAACAGCGTCTTCCAGAGGGATGGATAAGGGGTTTCAAGCTTTAAAAAAACCTCTTACCCTGGTCAGGTATATTTGTCTGTGTGCCCTATAAGATTTGGCCTTCTTTTTCTTCTTTTTTTTTTATGTCAGCCTTTTATGGGAAAACAAGGGGAGAAAAACATAACCTGTAACCTAACACTAGACTGCATTGTCAGCTAGAACTGTGTGTGATGGTCAGAAAGCAGAAGTCTGTTTCTTTTCAGCCCAGCTTACAGTACAGCCTGGGAACAAAATTTTAGCCATCTAGGACAGGGTATAGGGACACGGTGGCTCAGTGGCTAAGACGCTGAGCTTGTCGATTGAAAGGTAGTCAGTTCAACAATTCGAATCCCTAGTGCCGTGTAATGGGGGTGAGCTCCCGTTACTTGTCCCAGCTTCCGCCAACCTAGCAGTTCGAAAGCACGTAAAAAAGGCAAGTAGAAAAAATAGGGACCACCTTTGGTGGGAAGGTAACAGTGTTCCGTGCACCTTTGGCATTTAGTCATGCCGGCCACATGACCACGGAGACATCTTTGGACAGTGCTGGCTCTTCGGCTTTGAAACGGAGATGAGCACCGCCCCCTAGAGTTGGGAACGACTAGCACATATGTGCGAGGGAAATCTTTACCTAGGACAGGGTCTTTAAAGAGTGACCATCATGGTGCTTGCTCCCCTGCTTAGTGCTGACTTGGGAAAGCTCTATAAACTGGGGTGAGCTCCTTCCCAAAGAATAAAATTTGAAAAGGGGTTGATTGAGAAGACCTTCCAGTCCTCTGAGGAGCTCAAACCCTGTGTAGAGTTACCACATCAAATGATTTAGGGGTCCTTGGTGCTTTCTGAGCTTGGTTGTTTCCTTGCAGATGTTTCCTTGCCCCAAGTAGGCAACATCATCAGTAATGACTCTACTACTGATAATGTGACCTGGTTTGGGTAATGAAACATCTGCAAGAAAACAATCAAGCTCAGAGAACACCAAGGACTCCTCATTTCAACCCTGAGTTACAAATAGTTTCCTTTACAAGTGGTTTAGGCTGAGAATAGCATTGGGGTCTGGCAACTCCGCTACAGCAGAATTGGCACTCGGACCTTCCCGGCTGCATGTAACTGCTGGTTTGGTTCTGATCTGATGATGCTTCAATGGGTCCATGTTAGTGAGGAACGGAGCTTTGATTTAGGCTCTGGAAAATCAGGTGCCCCTATCCCCAAAGCAATGACCCATTTGTTTGAATGCATCCAAGTCAATGCCTTGTATATAGAGGCACCATGGTTCAGTGGCTTAATGACACTGAGCACCGGCAGTTTGAGCCCTAGTACTGTAGGGTGGGGTGAGCTCCTGTCACTCGCCTCAGCTTCTCTCCACCTAACAGTTCGAAAGCATGTTCTATGCAAGTAGATAAATAGGTACCACTTTGGTGGGGAGACAAGCTGGTGCTCTGTGCAGGCAGGCAGATTCCAGATGGCTCTAAACCTTCCCGGTTTTGGTGCCCACTTGTAGCTCTGGGAAGGAAAGGGGCCTTTGGTGACAATGCAGAAAGAGCCGCTCGTCTTTCTCTCTGGTGTGAAGCCAGCTCGCCCTCCAGTGGCGTACCCTGGAAGTACACAAGTATGCCGTATAGCAGGGCAGGTACCTTGTCAAGCCAAACTACTACTTTGCAATAGCATTGTGGTTTCCTGGTTACTGTAACAATGCCAAACAACAACAACTACAATAATAATACCTTGGATATTTTCAATAAAATTAGACCACACCACACTGACCTGTTTGTATCTCCGTATTTTTTTTTCCAAATAGACACAGAACCTATTTCTTTGAAAAACTTAAAAAGGCGATCCCAGTTTTTTGAACAAGGTAAAAGCAATCAGTATTCCCACCCCCAAAAAGCTAACATTTCATGTAATTTCATGAAATCGTGCCTCCCCTGCCTTCTCTTAATCAGCCTGTGGTGTTGGGTTCTATCGTGCCAACTTTCTTAATCTCTTTCCGTTCTTTTCCTCAGGAGCATCAGGTTCCTTTCACAATTCATGGGTGTATCTTTGTGGTAATGGGATTTGTGTGTTCCTTTTTTCCCCTCACACCTTTGACACTCTTGATAAGTTCAAGTCCTGTTCGTAGCGAGCACCAAATGTAGCATGGAAGATGTTCTCATCCGATTCGCAAGCTTTTCTCCTACGTCCTGAAATTTGGCAAATCTGTGTTTTGTAAAATGACCAGTCTGAAACAAATGATCAATGTTAAAGTCATATTTATTATTACAGTTGGTGTATCGGTATGGCATAGCTAGCTAAGGAACAGATGCCTCAACCCCATGAGGCAATTTTAATCCTTCAAAAACTAAAAGAAATGTTTTGGGCCCAGAATCCTGTATCTGAGCTCTTGCAAGCTTCTAGGAGTGTGTTTGGCATGTCACATGTCATCCTTTTCACCCTCACTTCAAACACTTGTGCTTGTTTTATTTGTTATATGTGGTATGTTTTGAAGTGATGAAGACAATTTTTCTCATTGATGTCCGTGCTCCGTATTACACAAGGTCTTTTTCTCTTTCCAATGTTATTTTACCATTGTCTCAGTTTCTTCAGAATAATGTTTCCATACAAAAGATGAAAGGCCGCTCTTAGTCATAATCATATCTTGCCCTTAGCATCTTTCCCAGGTGCTCTTTTATGGCAAGGCTTTGTGCCCAAGCTGGCAAGACCTTCAGAAATGCAGGCCAAACTTCTCTAAATGCAGAATGTGACTTTATCAAAAAAAAAAAAAGAGGAAAGGAAAGGAAAGGAAAGGAAAGAAGGGGAGGGGAGAGGAGGGGAAGGGAAGGGAAGGGAAGGGAAGGGAAGGGAAGGGAAGGAAAGGAAAGGGAAGGGAAGGGAAGGGAAGGAAAGGAAAGGAAAGGAAAGGAAAGGAAAGGAAAGGAAAGGAAATCTGTGTTTTGTAAAATGACCAGTCTGAAACAAATGATCAATGTTAAAGTCATATTTATTATTACAGTTGGTGTATCGGTATGGCATAGCTAGCTAAGGAACAGATGCCTCAACCCCATGAGGCAATTTTAATCCTTCAAAAACTAAAAGAAATGTTTTGGGCCCAGAATCCTGTATCTGAGCTCTTGCAAGCTTCTAGGAGTGTGTTTGGCATGTCACATGTCATCCTTTTCACCCTCACTTCAAACACTTGTGCTTGTTTTATTTGTTATATGTGGTATGTTTTGAAGTGATGAAGACAATTTTTCTCATTGATGTCCGTGCTCCGTATTACACAAGGTCTTTTTCTCTTTCCAATGTTATTTTACCATTGTCTCAGTTTCTTCAGAATAATGTTTCCATACAAAAGATGAAAGGCCGCTCTTAGTCATAATCATATCTTGCCCTTAGCATCTTTCCCAGGCGCTCTTTTATGGCAAGGCTTTGTGCCCGAGTTGGCAAGACCTTCAGAAATGCAGGCCAAACTTCTCTAAATGCAGAATGTGACTTTATCAAAAAAAAAAAAGAGGAAAGGAAAGGAAAGGAAAGGAAAGAAGGGGAGGGGAGAGGAGGGGAAGGGAAGGGAAGGGAAAGGGAAGGGAAGGGAAGGGAAGGAAAGGAAAGGGAAGGGAAGGGAAGGGAAGGAAAGGAAAGGAAAGGAAAGGAAAGGAAAGGAAAGGAAAGGAAAGGAAAGGAAAGGAAAGGAAAAGGAAAGGAAAGGAAAGGAAAGGAAAGGAAAGGAAAGGAAAGGAAGCTGCAACTTGACTTCTTTGTGCTTTTTGGAAGAATCTTTCTCCCAGTACCAGGTTTTTGAATAAGGAATACATATGGTTTGGTACTCTGTTTTTAATTTGGTTTTCCTGGGGCAGCTGAACATCTTGCATTAAAGGTCGATTTTGGCCTTTGTCCCATACTTAAAAGAGGGGAAAAAAATGTCTCTCAGGAAAATTAATTTCTCACTCACCACCCCAAAAGAAAAAAGATTGCACAACTGACACAGTTGGGGGGGGGGTTCACTGAAATATCCTTGTTCTCCTTGCTGCTTTAACTGCTGTAGGGTAGCTAATATATTTTCATTGGGACCTTAGGTCCAATGGTAATTATTCATTCATTATAATTTTTGGGAAAGTTTGGGAATTTGTCGGTGCATGAAGCTAATGCAGGAAGATTTGCTCATTTTATCTTGGCCTTTCATATTAAATGTTTCTCTATCGAAGCACCTGATCTATCCCAATATGGGAGGAAGCATACTACTCCCCTTTCGCCTTTCAGCTCCAATCCAGGAGCCCTCAAGCAGTCACATTCACCACAAACCATTTTATCAGGTGGCTCAAGCTGATAAAGGGAGGAGAACTTGTGGCTCAGAGGTTAATACAACTGCCTAATATGCAGGCAGCCCAAGTTTGAATCTGAGTAAGGGTATGACTAGCTGATGAGAGTTAAATAGCTCGAAATAGATCTATACTAGTCTCCCTTTATTTCTTTATCAGCGAAATACACACACACATATACATACACATACACATACACATACATATACAAGATATAGATAGAGATAGAGATAGAGATAGAGATAGAGATATATACCCTGTTTCCCCCAAAATAAGACATCCCCTGATAATAAGCCCAATCGGGCTTTTGAGCGCATGGCAATAAGGCCAAGCGCTTATTTCAGGGATCAAAAAAATATAAGACAGGGTCTTATTTTCAGGGAAACACTGTATGCTCTCTTGGAAGCATTATACTGAAGAATGGACTTGTATCACATCACTAAGTTTTATCAGCAGGATCACCTAAAAGTTAAAATATAATCCGAACACAGTAAATTGGGAAGCAATTGTGGAAAAGCAAAGATGGAGGCCAACAGTGTTTCTCACAATGTCTGGCATGGGAAGGAAGGAAGGTTCGGCCAGGTGAGGGGGTGACCCAGGCTAGTGAGGAAGAAGGAAGTGGGGAGATGAAAGCTGACACCGCAGGAGAAGGCAAGCAGAAGTCTGGATCTGTACAGGAGAACCGTAGAGTACAGTGCCACAAAGCAATTTGGGAGGCCCTGGAACTGGGCCAAGAGTGCTAGGTATTTGTCCCGAACTATCCATTCTGGAATTTAAAAAAAAAAAAAAAACAATTATAAAATGAGCAGTTCTTGAAGTTTGTGGCTCTTCTTGGCTGGGATTTTTTTGCATGAGACAACTCATGTGAAAGGGATATGACAAGAGTCAGCTGGAACACTGGGACTGAATTCCATTTCTGCCTCATGTTAATGCTTTTGGATTAACTGCTTAGCCTTGAACTTCGGCTCAATGATTGCGGCCATTGCAACGACGATTTTAAAAATCTCAGGTCGCCTTCCTCAAAATTGCTCCAAATTCTAGTTGTCGCCCCATCAGCCTATCAAAGGTTGGTGTGGTGTGTGTTTGTCTTTTCGAAGACCATACATTTTATGATTGGGTGGGGATTGGGATATCGTTTTGCAAAGAAGAGATGGTTGGAAATGATGCAGGAATGTGAATTCCCCGACAAAACAGTATTCTAGCATTCTTGGAAATCTTCTTCTTAAAACTGTCTTCTCAGAGTTTATTTTTGGTGTGCTGGCATAATAATCAAGGAGGGTACCACCCATACTTTATTGCTGTCTATGTATGGCAGACTTGATTAGAAAAAGGTGCAATTCATGGTGTAAGTATGAAACCAATGCAGGAAGTCCTTGGCTTACGACCAGAATTTGAGCCTAAAATTTCTGTTGGGAAGCGAGAGAGTCGTTAAGTGAATTTTGCCCCGTTTTACTACTTTTCTTGTCACAGTTGTTAAATAATCACTGCAGTTGTTAAGTTAGTAACCTGGTTGTTAAGTGAATCTGGCTCCCCCATTGTTTGTCAGAAGATTGCCAAAGGCGATCATATGACCTCAGGACGCTGCAACCGTCATAAATATGAGTCCGTTGCCAAGCATCTGAATTTTAATCATACGACCATGGAAACACTACAACAGTTGTAAGTGTGAAAATCGGTCATAAATCACTTTTTTCAGGGCCATTGTAACCTTGAATGGTCACTGAGTGAGCTGTTGTAAGTCAAGGACTACCTGTATAAGGATTTTCCTTTCTATGACCTTAAGAACTATTTGCCTTTTGGAAGATGTTAGTTGAGTCCTTGATCGGAAAAAGGGGTGGTCCCAGGGCAGCCTTCTCATTTGGGTTGAAATGGTTTCTTCAAGATAAGAGTAACAAAGATTTTCCACTCTTTTCTTGTTCTTCTTCTTTTTTTAATCTTATAAATCATCCAGGAGGCCAGGAACCTGCAATACTTGACGTAAGTAATACTCCATTGTTATTATTATCAGTAACAATCAGTCAACCAGATGGTTAGGTTAGACTTGGATTCAACTATCAAGGGGCGCGGTGGCTCAGTGGCTAAGATGCTGAGCTTGTCGATCGAAAGGTCGGCAGTTCAGCAGTTCGAATCCCTAGTGCCACGTAACGGGGTGAGCTCCCGTTACTTGTCCCAGCTTCTGCCAACCTAGCAGTTCGAAAGCACGTAAAAAAAATGCAAGTAGAAAAATAGGGACCACCCTTGGTGGGAAGGTAACAGCATTCTGTGTGCCTTTGGCGTTTAGTCATGCCGGCCACATGACCACAGAGATGTCTTCGGACAGCGCTGGCTCTTTGGCTTTAAAATGGAGATGAGCACCGCCCCCTAGATTCGGGAACGACTAGCACATACCATGTTTCCCCAAAAATAAGTCCCTGTCTTATATTTTTTTTGAACCCTGAAATAAGCGCTTGGCCTTATTGCCATGTGCTCAAAAGCCCGATTGGGTTTATTATCAGGGGATGTCTTATTTTGGGGAAAACAGGGTATGTGAGAGGGGAACCTTTACCTTTACCTTTATCCAACTATCAAGTCCTTCCCAAGAACCTGAGAGAGGCAGATGTTCCTTCCATCTTCTTGACAATTTGTTCTCCAAAGTTTTCCTCTCCCTTCTCCCTTCTCATCAAGAGGGTTAGATTGGATTCCAGGTAGGTTGAATTGGAGAGCAAGCTTTATCCCCTGAAGGCTAAAACCTATGCTTGTAGGAACTGGGTATGTCCAGTTTAATGAAAAGAAGGGGTGACATAATAGCAGTGTTCCAATATCTAACGGGCTGTTACAAAGACTAGAAGTTCAAGCTATTCTCCAAAGCACCAGAAGGCAGGATAGGAAGCAGTGGATGGAAACTAATCAAGTAGAGAACCGATCTAGAACTAAGGAGAAATTTCCTGACCGTGAGAACAATTAATCAATGGAATGACGTGTCTCCAGAAGTTATGGGTGCTCCATTACTGGAGCTTTTTAAGAAGACATTTATCCGAAATGGTTGTTCTGTCCCCGTTCCACTCACGCACCCCCACAGACGGCCCAGAGTTAATAAGCCACATGACAAAATTCTTTGAAAATAAAGCTGGCAGCAACCCAGTGGCTAGCTGCCAATTCAGACTTTACTCACACAAAACAAAGATTAGACTGCCAGCATTCCGATAAAACAGGCAGAGTTTTCAACAATACAAGGATTAATCCAAATGCAGTCCGATAAAGCAGGCAAAGTCCAGTAACGCAGAGATCATGGAGTATTTCTAGTTTTTGCTCGTCACAAACTGAACTGGCCACCACACCCACATTTATACCCTGTGGGGTGTGGTCCAATGACTCAGCTAATCTCTGGCACACCTTCCCCTCTGCTGCGCACGCTTCTCCCTGCGCCTCTGGCGAGGGTCCAGCCAGCACTTATCTCCTTCGTCGCTGTCCACCTGTGGCTGCGGGGACGTGCTTGGCTCTGAGCTTATCTTTTGGCCTTTGGTGTCCTCCGGAGGCATTGCCAGAGAGGAGGGTCCTGGAGAGGGAGGCCTTGCCAACTCCTCTTCCTCACTCTCAGAGTCTGCATCTGTTGATAGCCCAGGCTCAGGCAACGGAGCCACAACAATGGTAGAGGGTCTCCTGCTTGAGCAAGGGGTTGGACTAGAAGACTTCCAAAGTCCCTTCCAGCTCTTTATTTATTGCCCTGCAAAGGGGTTCAGCACCCACTTTTCCTATCAAAAGGTGAACGCCAGCCCCAGCATTCTTCTTTTGCAAGCCATCTGCGGAGAACCCTCTGGGCCTGCTAACCTTTCGTTTCATGTTGCAGCTCCCTGTCCCACCCATTGCGGCTTCCAGCCGTTGGACTTGGGATCAAGAAGAAGAAAGAAAAAGGCAAGAGAAATGGCAAGCAGAGCAGGAGCGCTTACTCCAGGTCTGGATGAAACTGTGTGGTTGCCCTTCCTGCTAGAGCTAGAGCAGAACATCCTGACTAAAGCATTTCTGGTTGCTGACCCTCCTCCAGGGCCTCTCATCTAGGTGAAGCACTTGAGGATAGAAGCCCTGCCCCAACATGCTACCTACAGATAGACAATGGCAGGACGATTCTATCCCAGTCCATTCGGCTCCCCATCCAGCAGCTATCAATGGATCTTTGCCCATATAAAGCTGGGGATGGTTTGGTGACTGAGTCTCCTTCATAGATCTTGGAGATCCAGTTAGAGTCTTGAGTCAAACTCAAGGCCTGCAGCCCAGATCTAAGCACCCCACAGGCTGCATCCGGCCGTCCTGGAAACAGTGAAGGGCCAACCCGCGGTGCCTCTGCTAGCAAAAATGGAGCTTGGGCGGGCCACACACAACCCTCCTGAGCTCCGTTTTCATTGGCAGAGGGTTGCAGGAGGCTGTCCCAGCCAAAAATGGAGCTCAAGAGCCTGTTATTGCCGGCAGAGCTCTTGGGCCACCTCCGGTGCCCCCGACAGTGATGTAAACCTGGCCACACCCACCCTGGCCACACACACACACACACACACACACACACACACACACACACACCCAAGTCAAACACAACCCTGATGTGGCCCTCAATGAAATCGAGTTTGACACCCCTGGCCTAGAGGAAAGAGCCAATAAAGGAGAATATTGGCAAGCTCAGGGTTGCAATGAAGGGTTAGGGTTCCTTGCATTCCCGTCCATTCCTTAGTCTAATCCAGGGGTCCCCAAACTTGGCAACTTTAAGACTTGTAGACTTCAACTCCCAGAATTCTCCAGCCAGCATAGCTTGAAGACTTCTGGTCTAATCCTTTGCATGGTGTTGCTAACCAAAGGGGAACAGCTTGCTGGGTTTGTCAGCAGGGAAAATATTCTGTTTCCTGGGGTTTCTCTTTGCATTTGTAAGATTTTGTCTTGATTTGCTTCTCCCCATCAGGAGCAGTACAAGCGTGAGCAAGAGAGGCTTAAGGAAGAGTGGCTGAAAGCCCAGCAGGAGGCAGAAAAGGACATCTCCAGTTACTTAAAAGAGGTCAGTTCTCAGCCTTTTTGTGGTTTGACCTCATGGGCAGAAATTTGCTCTTGAGCTTCTCAAGGCCGTTTCTGAAGCAATACATCTGGAAGGCAGAAGCTCTGGGCATTCTTGTGGCTTTGTTGAGAAAAAGCTGAATATAGGGAAAGCATAAACCTCCCCCCCCAAAAAAAGAAATCAGGGGTGAAATCCAGCAGATTCTGACAGTTCTGTAGAACCTGTAGTGGAAATTTTGACCAGTTCAGAGAACCAGCAAATACCACCTCTGGCTGGCCCCAGAGTGGGGTGGGAATGGAGATTTTGCAATATCCTTCCCATTGGAGTGGGATAGGAATGGAGATTTTGCAGTATCCTTCCCCTGCGACGCCCACCAAGCCACGCCCGCAGAACCAGTAGTAAAAAATTTTGAAAACCCACCACTGGTCTGAAGTGACATAAAGTCAACTCCCAAGACAGGTGGAATATCTTTTGCTTCATTGTTTTAATCCACTGATCCAAATCTTTATTATTACCTGGAATATCTTTCCAATGAAAGATCAATCACGTGTACCTCAATTCATAGCAAAACATACCTAACTTTTTCTTCTGTTCGTTCTCCAAGCTTGTGGGTTGGTTTCCAAACGTTTCATTACCACGCTAGGTAACATCTTCAGCGGAGTTTGGGGAATGTCAGTGTCAGTGTTCTGAGGGTCTTGTGATGGGTCAGGTGCAGGGGTGAAATGCTCCCGGTTCGGACTGCATCGCCTGATCCGGTAGCGATGGAGGCGGGTGGTTCGGAGAACCGGTAGCAAAAATCCCTGCCTCTCCCCCCCACCCTTTGCCCAGCTGAGCCGCGCAATCATCAGAGGCTTTTTTTTAAATTTTTAAAAGCATTTTTTCTACAACCTCTTTGGCCGAAAAAATGCTTTTAAAAGTTAAAAAAAAAAGCCTCTGATGATCACGCGGCTCAGCTGGGATCATCAGAGGCTTTTAAAAGCATTTGTTCTACAACCTCTTCAGCCGAAGAGGTTATAGAAAAAATGTTTTTAAAAGGAAAAAAAGCCTCTGCCGATCAGGCAAGTCAGCTAGGATCGTCAGAGGCGTTAAAAAAAAAATAGCCTCTGCTGATCAGGCAAGTCAGCTGGGATCATCAGAGGCTTTAAAAGCATTTTTTGCAACCTCTTCAGCCAAAGAGGGTGTAAAAAAAATGGTTTTAAAAGTTTAAAAAAAAAAGTTGGCCACACCCACTCAGTCATATTAAACCCCACCACCACCAAGCCACGCCCACAGAACCGGTAGTAACAAATTTTACATTTCACCACTGGTCAGATGTGAGTCATCAGTGAGAGTCTTGTGATGGGTGTTGTGATGGGGAGGGTACATTGGATGAGGGCCATTGGGAGGTGAAGTGCTGGTTGGGGGATTGTGTAGGTTGTTTGAGGGTCAGTGCTGTCTCTGGTTGGCTGTGTGGTTGATTTAGATTCTGAGCAGTGCATAGGCTGGTTGTAGGTCAATGTGTCCCTTGATGGAATTACTTGTGAAGTGCCACACTTCAATGAACTCGCGAGCGTGTCGGGTGGTAGCGTGGCCAATGATTTTTGTATTGCTCCAATCAAACTGGTGCTGTTTGGTGTCGGTTTGGAATAGAGAGTAAGGTTTTGGGATCGTGGCGTTTGACTGCCAGCCAGTGTTTGTGGATCCTGTTTTTTAATTAATGTGATTGTCAGCGTTCCAAATTATGATCTCCTCCAGCGCCGACATGAATGAAAGAGGGAGAAGCTTTGCTTTAATGCTGAGATGAACTTTTACCTAGTTCCCTGCTCTTTAGTAGATAGCGTTACCTGGGTGACAGAGGGAGGGGGGAAATTCCTGTGAAAAGAAAGTGCTTGGGACAAAGAGATGGATCTGCACGATGGCCAATGAGACATTGGGGTTGAAGAACGGAAAGGGAGGGGTTTGGAAGGAGGTGCCAGTTTTGGCTGCACAAGGAGTTCAGGGATGTCGTTCTCTTATTCTTAAATAAAAAAAAAGATTCATTAGAGACCTTGCGTTTGAGAATGAAGTTTATTTAAGATAGCAACAAAACCTGACAGTGATGTTTGTCCCACATAGAACACTGACACTGACATCCCCTAAACTCCACTGAAGATGTTAACTAGTGTGGTAATGAAATGTTTGGAAACCAACCCACAAGCTCGGAGAACAAACCTTCACTCTCATCCTACACCCGAGCTACCGATATTCACCACTATTTCTCTTCTGAGTTTAATTTCTGCAAAACTTGTATTCTTTTCTAGGAACAGACTAACCTGACATCCCCTTCTATGACTGGGAGTATACAGGAAGCCCCAACTTTTTTGTGGGAAAGAAATGGAAGTAACAGGACTGCTTATCTTAGTTCTGAAAGAAATTGGGAAGAGGAAAGCAAGCCGGAGAATCAGAAGAAAGATCGTGAGCTAGCGAGAAGCAGCTTACAACAACAAGGAATGTTACAGGTGGAGCAAAAGAAAAAGTTACAAGAAATAGAAAATGGGAAGGAATGGAATGGACAAGACACAGTGTACTATGCAAAGGAACCAAGTTATCCAGAAGAAGTACCTCAAAAACCACAGGTAGAACCTGTCAAGGAATCAAGGCATTGGGAAGAAACATCTCAAAATCTTCTGATGGACCCAATTAAAGAACCAAACCATGGTGAAGAAACATCTCAGAATCAGTTTTTTGAACCCATCAAAGAATCAGGGTATCAGGAAGAGACATCTCAAAAGTTAGTGCTGGAACAAGTCAAGGAACCAAGGTTTTGGGAAGAAGTATCTCACAAAACTCACGTAGAAATAATCAAGGATTTAAGATACCAGGAAGAAACATCTCCAAACCTGCTGATGGAACCTATCAAGGAACCACGGTATTGGGAAGAAACATCTAAGGACCTGCTGATGGAACCTATCAAGGAACCAAGGTATCGGGAAGAAGCATCTCGGGACCTTCTGATGGAACCTATCAAGGAACCAAGATATTGGGAAGAAGCATCTAAGGACCTGCTGATGGAACCTATCAAGGAACCAAGGTATCATGATGAAGCATCTCAAAAGCTGTTAGTGGAACCTATCAAGGAACCAAGGTATCGGGAAGAAGCACCTCGGGACCTGCTGATGGAACCTATCAAGGAACCAAGGTATCATGATGAAGCATCTCAAAAGCTGTTAGTGGAACCTATCAAGGAACCAAGGTATCGGGAAGAAGCACCTCGGACCTGCTGATGGAACCTATCAAGGAACCAAGGTATCATGATGAAGCATCTCAAAAGCTGTTAGTGAACCAATCAAGGAACCAAGGTATTGGAAGAGAAACGTCTAAGGACCTGCTGATGGAACCAATCAAGGAACCAAGATACCAGGAAGAAGCATCTCAAAAGCTGTTAGTGGAACCTATCAAGGAACCAAGGTACCGTGAAGAAGCATCTCAAAAGCTGCTGGTGGAACCAGTCAAGGAGGTTTCAATGCAAAGATTTCAGTATCAAAGGTTTGCATTATTCTATTCTGTAATCTTAGATTTAAGGTTTAGGGGAAAAAATTATGGAAATTCTATAAAAGATGGATTATTAATACATGATGTGACACAAAACCATAGTACTTTATGAACTAGTGTCCAGAATGGGCTTGGGTCTGTGGTGAGACTTGTGCCATCTTCTCTTAGTTCCCAGACAGTAAATAGATGTGATTTCCCTCCTTGGTTCCCAGTATTTCTAATGGAAACTTTGTCCCAGTGTGCAGTGTGAACGTTCCTTACTGCCAGGGGTGGGTTCTACTTACCTTTACTACCGGTTCGCATCGCGAGCGTGCACATGCTTGCTTCTGCACATGCGCAGATCACCTATGACAGTGATGGCTAACCTTTTTGCCATCGTGTGTAGGGGGGGAGGTTCACGCATGTGCGTGCCCACACCCATAATTCTATGTGCCCCGCCCTGCGCATGCACGCTCAACCCCCCTCCCCCCTGCTCCTGGCATGCGGTGGCCCGGTAGGCCATTTTTCTTTCTCACCTGGCTCCAGATCCTCTCTATGCATCTGGGGAGGGCGAAAACAGCCTTCCCCACCCCCTTGGAGGCCCTCCGGAGGCCTGAAACGGCCCATTTCCCAACGCCTGGTTGGGCAGGAAGTGACATTTTTTGCTGTCCCCAGCCTCCAGAGCCCTCCCCAGATGCCCTCTGGAGGCAGGAAACAACCTGTTTCCCTACTTCTGGTGGGGCCAGAAGGCCCAAAAATCAGCTGGCTGGTGCGCGCATCCGCACCAGAGCTGAGCTGGTGTGCCCACTGATATGGCTACCCGTGCCACTTGTGGCACGCGTGCCATAGGTTCGCCATCACGGACCTATAATGACGTCTGGGTCAGTGGGCGGAGCCTCCCGCCGGTTTTACTACCGGTTCTTGTGATCCGGTCCGAACTGGGGGCAACTCAGCACTGCTTACTGCCCTCTCTTCTTAGTAAAACTGAGGAAAGGGCTTGTCAGGGTGCCCACATCCAGAAAGTGTTCCTTCCTCAGACTCCTTAAGAAGTTGATTGAATCCCCTAAAACCATGGCGTGATGAGAAATGGGTTGCTATGGGCCATTTTTCCTCACAGGCTTCCATCCATAGCTATCTTTGGTGCTGCTTTGGAGGCGTTTTGTTCTTTGATGCCTGTATATTTTGATGCTGCTTTGTTATCTCATTCAAAAGCCTTCACACCAATCATGTTCTGTGAACATCTCAGATCATCTCAACAATCTCTACAGGTCACAGCCTTACTACTAAAGATAGCTTGCCAGTAAAACACTACTTGCCAAGCTCTAGCAGCTATGTTGGCCAGAGGCCCGATAGTAAAAATTGACATGGGAAATTCAAGTCAACTATTTGCTATATTGCAGTGTACAGATCTGTATTCCTAACTCAGATGCTTGTCAAAGACTAATTATGGAACTTGTGATCCAGAGAACTATGCACATTTTTTAGCTAGATGATCAAACATGAGGGCCACTCCTAGCCTAGGCAATGTCTATCCTTTGGTGATTGCACAGAGGAATATCAGCTGGCAGGAGGCAGGAGATGCACCTTGTTTGTCATAGCCCCCGTCTTTAGAACATTCTCTCTTCAGAGATTAGAATGGCCCCAACATCCTTGAAGACGTATGTGCCTGGCCCTGAAGACTCTAGTACCATGATGGCGAACCTATGGCACGTGTGCCAGAGGTGGCACACGGAGCCATATCTGTGGGCACACAAGCGTTGCCCTAGCTCAGCTCCAGTGCGCATGCGTGTACTAGCCACCTGATTTTCAGGCCTTCCGGGCCCACCGGAAGTCGGGAAATCGTCCGTTTCCAGCCTCCGGAGGGCCTCTGGGGGGTGGGGAAGGCTGTTTTCGCCCACCCCAGGCTCCAAGAAAGCCTCTGGAGCCTGGGGAGGGCGAGAAACAGGCCTACCGGGCACTCCGGTAACCTTTTTGCCGTCGCATGCCAAAAGCGTGGGAAGCGTGGGGGGGGTTGCGCATGTGCAGGGGGGCGGGGGGAATTGAATTATGGGCATGGGCACATGCGTCCACACCCCCTACCCTGCGCTCCCCCGCTTTTGGCACGCAACGGCAAAAAGGTTAGTCATCACTGCTCTAGTGTGTGAAGGGCCCCATTTCCTGGTTACCTATGGTTATGATTTTATAATTGTTCACAACCCATTTATTGGTTGGAGATGGGCAGCCATAGAAGATGATGGATGGATGGAGGGATGAATAGAAGCTCTTGGACTTTACCCTAGCTAACTCTTGTTTATGCTCTCCTTATTCCAGACATTATGAATCACCAAGACTCTCCCATGAGCAAGGAAAGCACTTCAATGTCGACAGGTAAAAATTAGTGAGATTTTACTAATGGTACTATTAGAAATTTTAAAAGGAAATGGTGCTTCCTGGTCTTACCCTTCTGGAAAGTGGATCACTTTTGAGTGATTCCCTTCTTTTTTAGTTATGGTACACCATTTCCTAAATATGTCCCTACATGCTGGATTCATGGTTTGGTCCAGGACAGGCACAAACCAGGCCAACCAAGTGCTGTCCAACCTTTTTGAACTTATGTCAGTGTTATCTAGCATGGGCATCAGTATTACAGATATGGTGTCCCCCATGTTTGAAAGCTGCTGGAATGGCTCCTTCTGCTTTAATCTCTCTGGGCCATCGGTCTCAAGGTTCAGCTCTTTAGGCTGGGACCTCCTGCCACCAAGTGTGGCTGAACCCCTCTCATCACTGGATGGTGATGAGAAATCTGGAATAAACCCACCAAGGATCTCTGTAGCCACTTCAGTGCTGACATCTACTCAGGGGTGAAATCCAGCAGGTTCTGATAAGAAAACCTTTATCATCCCTGGAAATTGGGCTGGGTGGAAAAACTTATTCCATTTTTCCAGAAAGATAGAACTTGTTGACTTTTCCAAAAGAAGATGAAGGTTTAGCAAGAGAGACCGGAGACACTGGGTGGAGTAGAATTGCCCCTTTGCCTACCCTCTAAAATGTGCGGATGCTGGGCTTAAACAGAGTCCCTTGCTGGCCATGCTGTTGAAGTGGGAGTTGGACGTAGCTCAGTCTGTTGATCAGGGGTGAAATCCAGCAGGTTCTGACAAGTTCTGGAGAACCAATAGCGGAAATTTTGAGTAGTTCGAAAAACCGGTAGCAGAAATTTTGAGTAGTTCGGAGAACCGGCAAATATCATCTCTGGCTGGCCCCGGAGTGGGCTGGGAATGGAGATTTTGCAGTATCCTTCCCCCAGGAGTGGGGAGGCAATGGGGATTTTGCAGTATCCTTTCCCCAGGAGTGGGGTGGAAATGGAGATTTTGCAATATCCTTCCCCTGCCCTGCCCACCGAGCCACACCGCGCCCACCAAGCCACTCCCACAGAACCGTTAGTAAAAAAAATTGGATTTCACCACTGCATCTACTGCATTAGTGTGGGGTGCGGCTTAGATTTGCGTGCTTCGTTTGCAGACACTAAAGATGCAGAGATACCGTTTAATAAAATCCAGCCCTGCACGTTCGGCAGAGAAAATGCCATTCTGGTTTCGTGCCTTAGGATGAATTTTCCTCCTGGAAAATATATATATATATATTCAACATCTGCAACAGATTGGAAGAAACAGTTGGCAGCCTATATGTAAAAGGCCCAGACCAAAATCTTGAGATTCTTGGATCAGGCAAAACCACATGCTAATTTTATTCTTGGGAACTCTTGAGTAATACTAAAGTGATATCTTGTGATATCATAGTTTCTGCTGTGAAGTTATTACTTCCCATTTTTCTGGGGCTTCATTGGTACCCTTAGAAATAATCCCTGAATCACCAAAGTTTTTCAGCACCCTTTGGTTAACGTATGTTTCAGGTGATATCCTGTGAAGATTCTCTATAATATAATTTCTCCATTTTTTTCCCCCAGAAATAAATCCAGATCAACTACTGATTTAGACAATCCTCAGCCCAGTGGTAAGTGCTTTCTTGGAAAGGGGGAAAAAAACAGGCAGAAAGCCAGGCCAAGAAGGGGGAACCTGTAAATGTCTTTATTTATTTATTTATTTATTTATTTATTAGATTTTTATACCGCCCCCTCTCCCGAAGGACTCGGGGCGGTGCACAGCCATAGTTAAAAACATACAATATAAACAATTAAAATACGTTTAAAACAGAATTAAATCTAAAATGGCTCCCCAATTTAAAATGCCTTACCCATACCCCTATAAAAAGACGAATTTAAAATTTAAAAATTTAAAATTTCCACATTTAAAAAGGGGGAAGATTTAGGCCAGGCCAGCTTGATAAAATAGAAAAGTCTTAAGTGCACGGCGGAAGGTGCGCAGATCCGGGATCCTACGTATCTCCGGGGGGAGCTCGTTCCAAATCGTAGGTGCCCCCACAGAGAAGGCTCTCCCCCTAGGGGCCGACAGCCGACATTGTTTGGCCAACGGCACCCGGAGGAGCCCCTCTCTATGGGAGCGTACTGGCCGGTGGGAGGCTATTGGTGGTAGCAGGCGGTCCCGTAAATAACCAGGTCCTGAGCCATGGAGCACTTTAAAGGTGATAACCAGAACCTTGAAGCGCACTCGGAAGACCACCGGGAGCCAGTGCAGCTCGCGCAGGAGAGGTGTCACATGGGAACTCCATGTCGCTCCCATCACCACCCGCGCGGCCGCACTCTGCGCCAGTTGGAGCCTCCGAGTGCACCTCAAGGGGAGCCCCATGTAGAGAGCATTGCAGTAATCCAGACGAGAAGTAACGAGGGCATGAGTGACTGTGTGTAGGGAGTCCCGATCTAGATAGGGACGCAACTGGCGGATCAGGCGAACCTGATGAAAAATCCTCCCGGACACGGCCGTCACATGCTCTTCTAACGACAGCCGTGAATCCAGGAGGACGCCCAAGTTGCGAGCCCTATCCGTGGGGGCCAATGATTCGCCCCCAATAGTCAGCGATGGCATTAGCTGACTATATCGGGACGTCGGAAACCACAGCCACTCGGTCTTGGATGGGTTGAGCCTGAGCCTGTTCCTCCCCATCCAGATCCGTACGGCCTCCAGGCACTGGGACATCACTTCAAGGGCATCGTTGGGGTGATCCGGGGTGGAGATGTACAGCTGGGTGTCGTCAGCGTACTGATGGTACTCCACCCCAAAACCACGGATGATCTCGCCCAGCGGCTTTACATAAATGTTGAACAACAGGGGCGAGAGGACCGATCCCTGCGGCACCCCACATATGAGGGGCCTCGGGGTCGACCTCTGCCCCCCTGTCAACACAGACTGCGACCGGTCGGAGAGAAAGGAGGAGAACCACCTTAGTACGGTGCCTCCCACCCCCAACTCTTCCAACCGGTGCAGCATGATACCATGGTCGATGGTATCAAAAAAATTACCCAGTTCATTTAGTGACCATTCAAAGCTACGACGACACTGAAAAAAGTGATTTACGACCATTTTCCACACTTACAACTGTTGCAGCATCCCCATGATCATGTGATCAAAATTTGGGTGCTTGGCAATTGGTTCATATTTATAATGGTTGCAATATCCTGGGGTCATATGATTGTCTTTTGAGACCTTTGGACAAGTAAATTCAGTGCGGAAACCAGATTCACTTAACAACCATGCTACTAATAGCAATAGCAATAGCACAGACTTATATACCGTCTCACAGTGCTTTACAGCCCTCTCTAAGCGGTTTTACAGAGTCAGCCTATTGCCCCCAACAACATGGGTCCTCATTTTACCCACCTTGGAAGGATGGAAGGATGAGTCAACCTTGAGCCTGGTGAGATTCGAACTGCCAAATTGCATGCAGCCGGCAGTCAGCAGAAGTAGTCTGCAGTACTGCACTCTAACCACCGCGCCACTGTGGCTCACTAACTTAAACAGCTGCAGTGATTCACTTAACAACTGGGGCAAGAAAGATCGTAAAATGGGGCAAAACTCACTTAACAAATGACCCACTTAGCATCATAAATGTTGGGCTCAATTGTGGTCCTACGTGGAGGACTACCTGTAAGATATAACTTCATGGATCCATGACTATAAACGAAGTTTAGGATTTTCTCTGCCTTTGACTCGTTTCAGCATCAGAGTATATATCCTTTCTTTCAGATTAGGTCTTGTTTGGTTCTTAATACCAAATTATTAAGAACCAAAACGAAGATATTAGATGCTGGACAGATCAGAGATTTTTTTTTTTTAATTTATTTTTATATGCCGCCCTTCTGCGGAGACTCAGGGCAGCTTACAATGCGTTAAGCAATAGCCTTCATACTTTTGTATATTTTATACAAAGTCAGCTTATTGCCCCCACAAACCGGGTCCTCATTTTACCCACCTTAGAAAGGATGGAAGGCTGAGTCGACCTTGAGCCTGGTGAGAATTGAACTCGCAGTAATTGCAGGCAGCTGGATGTTAAATGTTGCCTTAGTAAGAGGCATTAGCCTCCTACGCCACTCAGGCTCCTTATATATAGATAATGATTGGATTGATTTTTTTGGTAAATAAGAAACCGTGTAGACTTTCTATGAGTAAATCACAATAACCGACTGTTAACAGAGTGCTTTGAACTTTAACTACGCTGTTATATAACCTATTTTTTTTCCTTTCATATGTAAATGTATGACAGGTCAGTTGGGTTGCAGATAGATTAGATAGACAGTATAGTATAGATCAGTGGTTTGCGCGCATGAGTGCCCATACCCATAATTCAATGTGCCCCATCCCCCTGCACATGTGTGTGTGTGAGGCTTTTGGCACGCAATGGCATGGAGTGCCCGGTAGGCCCGTTTTTCGCCCTCCCCAGGCTCCAGAGACTTTCTAGGAGCCTGGAAAGGGCAAAAACTGCCTTCCCACGCCCCCAGAGGCCCTCCAGAGCCTGGAAATAGCCCGTTTCCTGACTTCCTGTGGGCCCGGAAAGGCCGAAAATCAGGTGGCTGGCGCGCACATGCATGCTGGAGCTGAGCTAGGGCAACGCTCGCGTGCCCACAGATACAGCTCCACATGCCACCTGTGCCACACGTGTGCCATAGGTTCGCCATCACGGGTATAGATAGATGTACATTTTGAACCAGCTTTGCAAAGGGGGAAGCTATTGTTGTTGTGCTAGATTTGTCAGTGTTCAACTGGGGGCATAATATGTGGTTTTGTCTTATTTTTTTTTTTAATTCACATTTTGTTAAGGTTATTGTCTTGCTTTTCTTTTGCCAACATTAAACCTTTTTTCTTTTGGATTTTGTATTTTCATCTTCTGAACCAAAAAAAAAAAAATTCAAATTAGGGCTGAAGAAGAAGTTTTCTGAGCAATCTTGGAATACCACCAACTCGCTGAAAAGATCTCAGAAGGAACAGGGCTTGTCAGCCGCTGAGCTGGAAAGGCAGCAGATCCTTCAGGAAATGAAGAAAAGGACCTCTCTGCACACGGACAGCAGCTGGATCCGGCAACGCAACGCCAGCGTTCACAAAGAGCCCTTCAGTCTGACCGGCAATAGAATGAGAAGGTAATAGAGACCCCCCCCAGGAATAGGACAATGTCGGCTGGCAATGTCCAGGGGTAGGGTGTTCTCTGTGGGCGCTCCTGCCCTCTGGAATGAGTTACCCACCGAGCTCCAGATGGCCCCTGATCTCCTCTCCTTCCGTCGAGGCCTAAAGACTTGGCTGTTTCAACAAACGGGCTGATTCTGATTCTTGGGTTTTATCATTTATTTGTCCCTGTTTTAATTGGTTTTTAATTAGGATTTTCTTTTATTATTGTATGTTTTTTAACTTGTGTTCGCCGCCCTGAGTCCTTTGGGAGAAGGGCGGCATATAAATATTTGTAAATAAATAAATAAATAAATAGCCCTACCGTGACTGAGCATCCCCAAATCTGATCTCCCCCTCTGACCCATGGAAGAAGGAAATCTGTCTCTGGAGATTCTCAGTCATCCAGGTCAAAGGTGTTTTTCTCTTCTTTTTTCCCCCCAAAAAGACAACTGGACTTTCTTGTTATTATTTTTTCCTTGAAGACATTTCGCTTCTCATCCAAGAAGCTTCTTCAGTTCTGACTGGATGGTGGGGAACAGAAGAATTTATATTCCTTGCAGACAGCTTAGACCACGGGTGTGAAACTTGCCGCGTCACGTTGTCGTGACGTGATGTTTCGCAATGTTTTTCCCCTTCGCAGAGCTGGGGTGGACGTTGCCTGCATGTGACACATCTGGCCAGTGGGCCACTGGTTTGACACCCCTGGCTTAGATTTAGAATAATTTTATTGTACACTAATCGGCATACATTAAAATGAAATTTTGTGGCATACATCTCTCAAAGGGTCACCACCTCCGATATACACTACATAAACATGACAAAAATATAAATACATAAATAATTATGCATATACCTACATACCCACACATATTATATGACACAGAGAAACAACAGAGTCTAGTTCAGATGTATACATGTACATGGCGAAAAAAACAAATCTTGTGAGTTTACCAGATGGATAGCATAGGGAACAAAGCTGTTACAGAATCTGCTAGTCCTGCTAAAAATACTTCGAAACTTCCTCCCAGAGAGGAGCAACAGAAACAGACTGTAAAGTATATGAGTGTGGGAGTCTCTTAACAATGCTTTGAGCTCTAAGCACATAGCTCTTATAAGCAGTAACCTGAGTAATGGGAAGCGAGCTTCCTATAATCTTCTCCATTGTCCTCGCCACTCTCTGTATGGACTTTCTATTTGAGGCCCTGCTGCACCAAACCAAACAGTGATGCAGTTTGTTAAAAAGCGCTCAGTCGTGCCTCTGTAAAAAGTGGCCAGGACAGAAGGAGCTGGTCATTTGCATTCTTTTTAGAGAGTTGTTGAGGCCACTTGGAGGTTTGTCTCTGTCCTTTGGGACAACCATGACCTGGATGACTGAGAATCTCATAGACCTCACCAAAATTATTCTCCAGTTATAGTAGTATCTTTTGTGTAGAATGATCAGCTACAGCCACTATAATTTTTTTCTTCCAGAGGTGAGAGCTTAGATAACCTTGACTCTTCAAGAACAAACTCCTGGAGACCTCATTCCTGGATGAACCAGTCTGCATCTTCTACATCTCTGTCAAGCAGCCAAGAGTTTGGCCAGCATATTCCTCCAGTGGTGTCCACCTCCAATCGGGCCTACATGCGCACCCCATCTTCCAGTCTTCCCTCCGCTCCCTCTCCATCTATTAAAACATCTTCCTTGCCCCACATCCCCCCAACGCCTTCTGTTCCTCAAGCTCCATCGCCAACCTCTTCTCAGTCTGGGACGCAACAGCGCAACAGGTATAAGAAGAATCTACTGAATTCTTTTTATTTCTCCCTCGTCTTTTTGGGGGTGGGGTGGGGTGGGGTGGGAGAAACAACCTGGCAACCCTCGAGATCATCTGTGAGTTCCTGACAGTATTAATGGGTATATTATACTACAAAGAAAATATACAGATAGTCCTTGTCTTAACAACCACAATCAAGTCCAAAATTCCTGTTGCTAAGCGTGAGAGTTAAGTGAGTTTTGCCCTATTTTATAACCTTTTCAGTTGTTAAGTGAGTCACTACAGTGGCACGGCTATTAAGTGAATTTGGCATCCCCATTGACTTTGCTTGTCAGAAGGTTCCAAAAATTTATCACAGGACCATGAGTCACTGCAACTATCATAAATATGAGTCAGTTGCCAAATGTCCAGATTTTGATCAAGTAACCAAAGAGGTACTTCAATGGTTATAAGTGTGAAAAATGATCATAAGTCACTTTTTTTCAGTGCTGTTGTAACTTCAAACAGTCACTAAATGAATGGTTGTAAGTCAAGGACTATCTGTATGTCTTCCTCTAAAGTAGATAATCCGTCGTCTTGAGACACCATCCACTGCTCTGAAATTACTGTGATTCTGGCGTGTAATACTACTAGAGATGGTTGATTCATTGCTTTTAGGGAGATTTATAAATACCATGCCTTCATTTGAAACAATTGTGTGTTTTTCTCTGCTTTAGTCACTCTGCTTCTGTTAACAGGAGAATAAGTAACATTTTTTCAGCAATTATGGTGATTGAAAACATATAGTGAGTGCCAACAGAACACTTTTGCATCTGTTTTCTTGTTCCTTTTTTCAAAGTTGCTGAACCCTTTTGTTTTTAATCATTTGTGTCAGAAATTCTGTGTAAAAAAAACACCATGGATCAAACGAAGAGTACAGTCACCATGTGCTTTACTGCTTAACTGTTTTAACTCTGACCAGGAAACTCTACTTAGAACAAAAGAGCATAGAGTATATACCATACATCCAAACCTATAAACACTGCCACCTACTGGCTGAATACTAACTCTAGTTGTTGTATAGAAATACATTCCAACAATGAATTCCAACAATTCGATTATATCATTTTCTCTAAATAAGAACTTACGAGTGTGCTCAAAGTTACTTGATTATTCCTTTCGTGGCTGTTGTTGTTTTACATACTTTGTTGGCCTTTTTTGAACCCGCGATGCCTGGGCTTCTCATTCTCCAGGAAAGAGAGACAAAAGCTCCCTGATAGCCTAAAAGGAGGAGGGAAGATTCCCCCATCCCAGAAGCATTTCTGTGTTACCAGATTCGGCAACTGGCGAGAGGCAGGCTGGGTCTTGAGTCCCATTCGCTACTTTTTATATCGCCTAACTTCAAAGGCATTTCTGTTGGGCATCATGTTGCCTAAATAAGAAGCAGATGCTACAGTTTGAAAACTATCTTCCACCTAAAAGGAACAAGATCAAACTTATGGGCTGTTTCCTACATTTAGCTATGCATAGATTGGTTAAATGATTTAGGTTAACTCTTGAGTTGCGTAATAGCAGTATTTCATTTAAAGTTTGGAGAAGTAACTCTTTTTGGTGATTCATTTCTATCTCAAAAAAGAACATTTCTGCTTTTCTCCTTGGCAGTCCTGGGGTTTTGATTCACTGTTCCTTCTGGGGCCCCGCCTTTTCCTTGTTCGGTTGCTGGTATTCTGCCATCTGCTTCTCAACCACATTCTTGTTCTATATTTAGGTCGGTGAGTGGAAAGCGAATATGTTCCAGCTGCAGAAACACTCTGGGCAAAGGAGCAGCCATGATCATCGAATCTCTTGGCCTTTGTTATCACTTACATTGTTTTAAGGTGAGAGGGGGAACGGTGAGAGGCAGGGGCAGGTCCTGCCCGTTTGCGTGGAAGCCGATACCCCCGTCCTAGCTGTGCTATCTCCCTTATGTGTAATGTGCAAGACCCAACAAAACAAAATCTGTCTGCTAATGGGAAATCTTCCATGTTCAACTGTTGCTGGACTCTTTGATGTGCTACAAAATATTTATTTATTTATTCATTCATTCATTCATTCATTCATTTATCAACAAGTACAAGGAAACAAGTAACAGTATAGACATAGACATGGACACATGAAAAACATTTGGCACAAATAAAAGGATATAAATAGGCAAAACATAGCCATAAACACATAGAATGATTACATATAAATGGGGACAGTAGGACAGGGACGGTAGGCACGCTGGTGCGCTTATGCACGCCCCCTTAGGGACCTCTTAAGAAACATGAAAGGTCCACGGTAGACAGTTTAAGGTAAAAAGGTATGGAGGTTAGAGAGACTAACAACAGGATCAGGTAGAGTGTTCCAGACATTTACTACTCTATTGCAGAAGTCATATTCCCTACAATCAAGATTAGAGCGAATTACATTGAGTTTGAATCTATTGATAGCCCTTGTATTAATACGGTTGAAATTAAAGTACTCATTTACAGGTAGAACGTTTTGGTAAATAATCGTATGAACTAAGTATAGGTCGGAACGTAGACGGCGTAGTTCAAGGCTATCCAGACCTAAAATTTCAAGCCCGGTGGTATAGGGAATTTTATTTCGAGCAGAATATTTGAGGACTCTTCTAGTAAAATATCTCTGGACCCTCTCTAATGTATTGAAATACAGTGAGGGTTTAGCGCTTTTATTTTTGGACAAATGAGAGTGAAGCTTCTCCGATGGAGAACACATTAAGATAAAGCAGGACAGGCAATAAGGGCTTTCCCGCTTGTGTCTCGGGCTTCCTTCCGTATCCACTTCCTTGCCCACATTGTTCACGGGTGCGTGCCATCACAGCAGGAAAAGGACACCGCTGCCGCTGCATAAAAGCAACCAACTCTTGCACAGATCTTCCTCTGCGCTTAGATATAAATGCATACCCAGAACACTGAATTGCTACTATGCATTGCAAGCCATCCCGAAAGGTCTTTGCAAGACGTTTGAAAGCCATTCAATATATGCAGGTAGTCCTTCTCTTATGACGGGTTGCTCGGTGACTGAAGTGACGATGGATCTCCCAGGGCCGCTTAGGAAACCAAATTCAACGTTTTGGTGATCATGTGATCACATTCTGTGCATTCACTTACCAGCCTTGCACTTTGGGCTGTTTGCAGCTTACCTACCATCACGGGACTGTGATCTTACATTTTTGGCCAATCAAATACATTTACTCCTGCTTAATGGCCAAAAAACAAAACAAAACCCCACCCATTGCAGCTTGGATGTTTGCTTTATGACCATCATGTCTGCTTCATTATGGCTCAGTTATGTTCATAAGAGGACTACCTGTATATTAGAATAGCAATAGCAATAGCAGTAGCAGTAGCAGTAGCAATAGGAATGGAATGGAATAAAATAGGAATAGGAATAGAATAATATAAAAAGGAATAGAATAGAGCTGGGACCTCGGAGGTCATCTAGTTCATCCCTCTGCTCAAGCAAGAGAATCTATACCGTTTCATATAAGTGACTGTCTAGACCAGTGATGGCTAGCCTTTTTGCCGTCGAGTGCCAAAAGTGGGGGGAACGCAGTGGAAGTCGTGCGTGCCCGTGCCCACACCCATAATTCAATGTGCCCCACCCCCCCATGCATGCGCGCATGACCCCCCCCTTGCACTCTCCCCACTTTTGGCACACGATAGCATGGTGGGCCCGGTAGGCCCATTTTTTTGCCCTCCCCAGGCTCCAGAGCCTTTCTAGGGGCCTGGGGAAGGGCGAAAACAGCCTTCCCTACCCCCCCCCCAGGATGCCCTCTGGAGGCCGGAAACAACCAGTTTCCCGACTTCCAGTCCCACCGGAGCTGAGCTAGGGCAACGCTCACGTGCCCACCGATATGGCTCCGTGTGCCACCTTTGGCACGTGTGCCATGGGTCCGCCATCACGGGTCTAGACTCTTCTTAAAAGCCTCCAGTGATGGAGCGCCCACCATTTCTGCAGGCAAGCTGTTCCACAGGTTAATTGTCCTCACTGTTAGGAAGTTTCTCCTTAATTCCAGGTTGCTTCTCTCCTTGATTAGTTTCCATCCATCGTTTCTTGTCCCGTCCTCTGTTGCTTTGTGGAGAATAATTTGACCCCCTCTTGTTTGTGGCAGCTCCTCAAATACCTGGATCACTGCTATCACGTCACCCCTAATTCTTCTTTTCTTTAGACTAGTCAGACTAGGCTTTTTTTTAGACTAGACTAGACTATTAAATGCAGTCCTATTTTAGTTACATAGAGTAATATTTTTTTTAGCCAATGAGCTGCATTGAGTTCAGGTCAATCCAATTGCCGGAGACATTTAGTCAGTGGTGGGATTCAGCCGGTTCGCACCACTTCGGGAGAACCGGTTGTTAACTTTCTGAGCAGTTTGGCAAACTGGTTGTTGGAAGAAATCATTAGGGCAGAGAACCGGTTGTTAAATTACTTGAATCCCATCACTGCATTGTCATCTCACCTTGATGCATTTGAAATAGGCACATTTACGATGAAGCGAAGGGCAGCGGGAACTCATTTAGGAAAGCTAGCTGGACTGAAACGCAAAGAATCTGCACGGGAGTCTTCCAAAGAAACAGCTTGGTGCCAAAACCGTTGCTTTCTCCATGTGCCATACGTTCAGTTCTGTTTCAGAAAGCAAGACGTGACACTCTCTGCGGATCTCCATTTCTGTGTAGCTTTTAAGTCTGGTTTATTTCTCCCGCTCCACGATTCCTTCGCCTAGGAGGAGGATATTCACCCGCCCTGTGCCTCTTGCTCTCAAAATCCCTGGCTTGACAACTCGCTTTCCGATCCTCACTGTGACTGGGTCTAATTGTCTGATTTCTCTGCACAGTGTGTTGCTTGCGAGGGAGACCTCGGAGGATCACAGGCTGGAGCAGAAGTCCGTATCCGGAACAGCGAACTCTTCTGCAACAGCTGCTATCTCAGATATAAAAGTAAGATGCTCCTTCTCTAACCAGTCACAATTACAAGCTCCCTGATGCTGAAAAGTTTTTTAGGTTTTTTTTTTTTTTTCCAGAAATCAGATGCTTTGCTTGGTTAGACAGTTAGCTATCAAAGTTGGACAAGCTGCTCTGCTACGAACTAAGGGATTATTTTTCCATTAAGAGCTGTGGTGGTGCAGTGGTCAGAATGCAGTATTGCAGCCTAACTCTGCTCATATTGCCAGTTCGATTCTGACCGGCTCATGGTTGACTCAACCTTCCATCCTTCTGAGGTTGGTAAAATGAGGACTGAGATTGTTGGGGCCGATGTGCTGATGTTTGTTTACTGTATGTTTTTTTTAAATTGGTTTTTCAAAATATAAAATACAAAGAAAAAATTAAAAAGTGGTGGAAAACTAAGAAGAGGGGGAAGGAAAAGAAAAGAAATATAGTGTAAAGGGAGAAAAAGAAAGAAAAAGGCACCAACTGCCGACTTTCTTTAGCACAGTAGAAGATAACAACATTACGACCACAACTTTTTTGCTTTTACACAACAATATGTACAAACAATAAGCCTATTTAGTTAACAAAAACAAAAAGTTTCATTTTTTTTCCATTGCAAGCACAAAATTCGGAAGCAATTTCAGAATAGAAACAAGGTTAGATATATTCTCTTCTTTGGATGAAAGACCGATGTGGTGACATTTGTAAACTGCTCGGTGTGCTGTAAAAAATTATAAAGCAGTATATAAGTCTAAGTGCTATTATAAATTGGAAAGGAGTGTAGTGTAAACGGTGCAATAAAATAATGGTATGGAGCAGAAAGCCGAATAAGTTGATGTGAGATTTTCATGATTTCAAAGCAGTGGTGGAACTCAAATTTTTTTACTACTGGTTCTGTGGGCATGGCTTGGTGGGCGCGGTGTGGCTTGGTGGGCGTGGCAAGAGAAGGATACTGCAAAATCTCCATTCCCACCCCACTCCTGGGAGAAGGATGTTGCAAAATCTCCATTCCCATCCCACTCTGGGGCCAGCCAGAGGTGGTATTTGCCGGTTCTCTGAACTACTCAAAATTTCCGCTGCCGGTTCTCCAGAACCTGCTAGATTTCACCCCTGCTTCAAAGGCATTGCAGCTTCTATCCAAGAGCCAATTATGCACCAACTAGGGAATTGGAGGAAATGGCCTTTAAAGTCCCTCTAATTGAAGGAGAAAAGAAATAACATGCCTTTTTTAGTTGTTTACATTTCATTTGATGCACCACAAAACAAAAATTAAAAATAGCCTGCTTTGTGTTAAGCGAGGACTAAGTCGTAGAGTGTACAGTATGTGGGGAAACATGATTCCAAATTTTAATCGTTTTATTTTGTAAACGAATCTTTTATTTTTAAAAAAATGTTATTTTAGGCCTTTTAAATCTGAATTTCATCCGTGCTGAGCAATTTGTCTCTTTTTCCTTTCTGATGTCAATAGCTGGACACACAACCAACATGTAATCCGAACCTACGAAGAGAAAGCCTCTGCAACAGACAGAGAAGGAAATAGCTGCTTCAAATCTATAAATATTCGGAGTGGGGTGTGTTTTGTAGGACCAGAAGTTTGCCTGTCTAGATCATTTAGAAGATGCACTGCATCCTTCGTTAAAAAAAAACAACAACCAATAACCCTATTCTGAAGTATTTATGAGAAAGTCATCACATTCTAGAGAGCTGTGCAGAACTTTTGTGAGAATTACATTTGAAGACACGCAGAGGTGGTTGCAGTCTTTATCTCAAGTTAAGCTACGCTTAAGTAATATTGCCCTTTCAAAACTGTCCACTTCACTTTATTCAATATCCCTTTGTGCTTTAACGGTGAAATCCAGTTGGGGAAATTGTGAAAGATTCTTTATCGTCCCGTGTTTGAAAAATGTAACTCTCCGTGCACCTCATAAACAGGTTAATATAACTGAAGAATTTTTTTTTTCCTTCTGTTTTCTTTTGTATTTGTAAATAAAGTTGCTGATGCTGCACTTAGACAAAATGGCTGAAGGCCTTTGTTATGTCTTGGAGGGAAAAAAAATTGTGCAGAAAGAAGTTGAGTAACTTGAGCGGTTCTTTGGCTAAGGCATTTCCAAGCTAAGATTCCCAACTGCGTGGGTCACGCATTCCTTCTTAATTAGACATGGCAGAAATGAAATCAAGATCGCGAAACTTTAAATTCTAGATTTAAAAAGGACATCGAAAATAAACTTAACGGGAGTTAGGTAAGAAGTTTGACAAACTTCTGCATCTGTCTAGAACAGGGGTGTCAATCCGGATCCGGCTCGCGGGGTGCTTAGATCTGTCCTGCGGGGCCGCCCTGGAAACAGCGAAGGAGCAGCCTATTGTACATCTGCCAGTGAAAACGGAGCTCAGGAGCAACTCTCCCAAGCTCTATTTTCACTGGCAGAAGGTTGCAGGAAGCCGTCGCAGGCAGAAACAGAGTTCGCGAGGGCCACGCATGGCCCTCCCGAGTTCTGTTTTTGCTGGCAGATGGTTGCAGGAGGCCGTCACAGCCAGAAATGAAACTCGGGGCCCAGTTTTCACTGGCAGAGTGCTCAGACCACCCCATCCCCCACACCCATGTGTGATGTCCAGCTGGCCACACCCACCATGGCCATGCCCACCCCGGCCACCCGAGGTCAAACACAACCCTGATGGCGGCCCTCAATGAAATCAATTTGACAAACCTGGTCTAGAACATTCAAAATAAAAGCCAAATACTGAGAAATGAAATGCCCTTTATTAGTTGGCTGAAGATGAACTAGGCTGCAAAGAGTGGCCTGGTTCACATCTAAAAATAAGACCATATTGGTTCATGTATCAAAAAGACAAGAACAAGCCATGTTTTGGCTTAGTGAATTGTGTGAGTGCAGCTTCTCTCTGATATAACAAATAGTCAAGCCTTGTTTTGAAGAGTCCCCCCCCACCCCTTAAGCAAACACATCAGTTATGGCCACCGTGACCAGATAATGAGCAATCCACACCGCTGTCGTTTATACTGATAAACCTTCAGATGTGTGGCTTTCTTGTATAAAAATAACTAGAAACGTCATAGGTTATGACGCTGAAGTTTCCAAATGGGCCTCTTTTCATGAGGTTTGTAAAACTTGAAGATCACCTTGTGCTTAACTAAGAGCATGTGAGCTTTCCGACCAAAATGATTTTGGGGCAACTGTGAAGAAGTACTTTTGCCCACCAAAGGCAAAGAAGAAGGGTATATTGTTACACCTTGAGAAAATTCAAAGATTACTGTATTTTTCGGACTATAAGACGCACCGGACTAGAAGACGCACAAGATTTCGAAGAGGTAAACAAGAAAAAAAACTTTTTGTCCTCCCCGGCCCCCAGGAGCACTCTGCAGGCCTCCCAAACTCTCTGTGCATCCCATTTGTGTGGGCCCTTGGAGGTTTTGGAAGGCCAAAAACAGGGTGCACAGAGGGTTTGGGAGGCCTGCAGAGTACTCCTGGGGGCTGGGAATGGCAAAAACGTGACACACGGGGGGGTTGGGAGGCCAAAACCGGGGCGTGCAGATGGTTTGGGAAGCCTGCAGAGTGCTCCTGGGAGCTGGGGAGGGCAAAAACGCTCCCATTTTATCCCCTGTGGGGTGTGATCCAGTGACTCAGCTTAATCTCTGGCACGCCTCCTTTTCTGCTGCGTGCACTTGTCTATCTGACACTGGCATGGATCCAGCCAAGACTTATCTCCGTCATTGTCCGACTGCGACTGCTCGGCGATACCTGGCTCCTGGCCAATCTCTTCTCCTTCGGGAGACACCTGAGGCATTGCCAGAGAGGAGGGTCCTGGAGAGGGAGCCTGGCCAACTCCTCTCCTTCACTTTCAGAGCCTTCTCCCTCCGATAAGACGGGCTCGGGGGTCAGAGTCACAACACCTATGAATTCCATCTATGCAGCATTGATGGGTTGGCCGGATGCATTAAGTTCTTTCCTCTTTATGAACCAAAAGGTATTTTTCACTGACAAAGCGATTTCACTGTCATTGCAATCAAATGTAGCCAAATTTCTCTTTCAAAAGCTGCTTTATGATTTCATTCAGCTCACATGACTTTCAGCTGACATGGAAAAACAATATGCCGGGACATCTTTCCTGTTTCCATTTTTGATAAGTAAGGTAAAGGAGTCCCTGCGAATTTTACTCCTGTAGTTCAGTAGTGGGTTCCACTTACCTTCACTACCGGGTCGGAGCATCCGTGATGACGTCCAGGCGGATGGGCGGAGTCTCCCGCCGCCACCACTACTGGTTCGCCGGAACTGGGGTGAACCGGTAGAAACCTACCACTGCTGTAGTTGTGGCTGACTATAGAGAGCAGTGCTCATCTCCATTTCAAGACCATTGGGCCAGCACTGTCCAAAGACATTTCTCTGATCATGTGGCCATCATGACATCACAGAGTGCTGTTGCTTTCCCACTGAAGTGGTACCTATTTATCTATTCGCATTTACATGCTTTTGAACTGTTAGGTCGGCAGGAGCTAGGGCGAGGACGGGAGCTCACCCTATCTCATGGAACCTGGGTCTTGAAAGGGGTTAGAAAAAGTCTCTTAACCACTGAGCCACCACACTGCCCCTATTTTGATGAGTAAACGGTGAAAAAAATATTTAGATGTTTATGAGAGATCAGTCATCTAAATGGTGAAAATATTCAAAGGGCATAAAAGTACGACATGACTGAGAAAAGCAAACCATTGATTAATTTTTCAAGTCTTTTTAAGTAAATATTTCTCATTTGTCCAAACATGTTTGTATCGGCTCCTGGTCATCAGTCTTTGGTTTATCATTTTCAGCGTATTAAAAAATGCTGCAAGCTAGCATCTGTTTTGGAATGTGTTTCTGTTAGCTCCTGTAAAATAAACAACACAATTGGGTTTTTTTTTCTTGCTTGCTTAATCATACTTGCTACAAAAATGTGACAGGTTTGTCCTGTTGGATTTTGTTTTGTAGTGTCCTTGATAAAGCTTTTTTATCTGGGTTGGCACACAGTAAAATATTTTAAGTCCTGGGAAACTTGTCCTCCTCCCCTCCTCCTTTTTCCCCCCCTCTTGCTCTTCATTGTCTTCTCTCCCTTTTTTTTGATTTTCATTTTCTAACATTCGGCATTGTTGCATATCTGGGAAGTTTGAAGACCGAAATGAGGAACGGTTGGTTGCTTCTTTCCTGCCTGAGCTTTGTGGTTGAGTCTCTGATGCCCCAAAGGATGTGAACACAAATTGTCTCCAGGCGTGCAATGACTACATGGGGGTTCGTGCAGGAAATGAGTTTCAGGAGCTTTGGTGCCAATATGGAGCCCAACGGAGTCATTTCAGGTGGAATCTGTCTCAGGGCTTCTGTTCTCGTTTTGCTTCAGTGACTACAAATTGTCTCCCTCCCTCTTGCCATGGTCTAGACTAGAGGTCAGCAACCTGTGGCTCTGGAGCCGCATGTGGCACTTTCACCCCTCGGCTGTGGCTCCCTGTCATTCAAAATATGCGTCACAACCGCCAATGTGTGACATCCTACGGCACATAATTTATTAAGCTTTTCAACCCCTGGTAGGCCAACTGTGGATAAATCCAAGAAAAGAAAAGTTTCAGAAGAAAGCAGAACGTTTAATTCAACTACATATGCTAGTTTTGTGGCCGCTCAAGAAATACTCAGGCATGGGGAAGGGTTTTGTGGCTCCCAGTGTTTTCTTTTCTGTGGGAAACAGGTCTAAATGGCTCTTTGAGTGTTTAAGGTTGCAGAACCCTGCTCTAGACGCCTGAATTATCTTTGTCTTGGGGCCAGAAGTTCAGGGGAGGGGATCCGTCTCCCCTTCACTGATGCTCTTGGCTCAGATGGGGTGGCATTTGCATAAGGGATATGAACTTTGGAGCAAAGGTGCAACCTTTGAAGGGGACAGTTTCTTCTTTTCTGGAAGAAACACTGGAGCAGAAAATATGGAGGAAAAAATTGCTGCAAACAAATCTTGCAAACCACTCTGAATTGGTGATCTTGACAGATAGACAGAAGGATCTTGACAGACTTGAACATTGGGCGCTATCTAACAAATGAAATTCAATGGTGAAAAATAGTAAGGTTTTACATTTAGGCAAGAAAAACAAAATGCACAGGTACAGTATATGTGGTACTTTGGTCAATGTGAGAGGGATCTTGGAGTCCTAGTGTATAATCAGTTAAATATGAGGCAGCATATTTCCCCCCCCCTCTTCTTCATGGCAGCCGCTTAGAGATTGGAACCATAATATACATTAATAAGATTTCAAATCTGCATGTTCTGGAGTATCTCAATGCTTCAGTTGCAAATGCAAAATATAGAATGTTGGCTTTTCAATGGAAGATAGTTCTTTTCAGCCACAAGGTGGCAGTGTTTAAATGCAATTTTTATACAGTAAGGTTTTCTCTTTGAAAATTTGATCTTACTATTTAAGGTGCAAAGCAAATGTGTCCCTTTGTTTAAATTTCAACGCATCTGTTCTTGATGTGAGGGTCTAGATGATTTATTTGTGACACAAAGAATTAAGGACTGGGTCAAAAATCCAGTCCACCTCAAACACAGGTCAAATGTAGACGTTTTTCACCTGGGACAAAAGAAGATAGAGTTGATCATTTTTGGAAAGTTATATATGGAAATTATTGACACAGGGTCACTGAGTTTCTAAACAGGGGGAAAGCCTGAACTCAAAAAAGGTTTAAAAACTAATAATTGGGAAACTCTGGGAAAAGGAAGCCAATTAATTAACTGTAAGAAACAATTTCTGGGTTTCAACCAGCGGTGGTAGGAATGACTTTTGCTAACATTAGAACAAATTTATATAATGAAGAAAGGAACTACTCAAGCTTGCTCTGCCAATCACCAATTATTGTTAACAAATTAACAATAATTTGTTAATTATTGTTTGATCGTCCCATCTCCGTCACATGAAGAATAAGGCATTGGGAACTGTGTGAAGGAAGACTGATTATGTTTGGCAGAAGATTTAAAACAATGTCAGAAAAAGATTAC